CTCAGGAGATCTATGAACTTTGCCTAACATGTATTTCTTCAATGTATTCTTTATTTGATTTTATATGGCCAGTATTTCTCTATAAAAAATATGCTAAAGATAATTTATCTAGCAGGTTAAGGCTTGTGTAAATTTCATAAATCTTAATTCTTAACAATCTTTTTGTAACAAGAATTCATGAAGTTAATTTATAAGCTTACAAGGAAATGTTCAGGCGCTAGGTATAGACTTTTTGTATTTAATGTTCTTCAACGCGCAATCGTTGTAAAATTTGACAAAATGCTACGTTTAACAAAAAGTTATAACAGCTTTTTTATTTTGGCTTAGGTCCTTGTGAAATTCACATTAATATATTAGGGGATATCACTGCAACATTAACAACAAAGTTTCATTGAGAACGGATGAACAATTGTTAAGATTTGCCAATCATAAACCGTATCAGATCTCAAGAAGTATATACTTGATATCCATGGTTTGTCAAAAGTATGTCAAAATAGTGTTCTAGTCCATAGTTTTGATTTAATTTCAGATGCAGAATCTGGGGCATCGCCACTAGGCAGTGATGTTCGCTTTCTCCAGGTTATGATGATAATGGCCGTGGGCTACGTAGTGCTAAAGGCCATCATGATGTAGGCCTCCAGTAACCTTCTAAAATATCGTCGTCCGTCCACAAGAAAAACCAGAGGACATCACCTACAATTCAAACAACAGCACTGTAGAATCCTTTCCTACCAGTATAGCTTCCATCCCGGTACTATCTGCTTGAGGAATGTCCTGCCTGCAACAGTGGTTTCGGCTCCGTCTACTGAGTCTTTCTGGAGCCGTCTTGCACAACTCACCCTCCATTAGAGATGCATCTTTTTACTTACACTGTACCTTCTTTGTCACCGCACTCGATATCATGTTTTCTTGAGATTGCAACCCCAGCAATCAAGTACGACTATACTCTACAAAGAGGACTGTACTCAATTGGAAGAAGAAGAAGAAGGCTGGACGAGGTGTAACGGACTTCTCATTTCTTTGGTTTGGGGGTACACAAGGGCTGTGAACAGTAATTTCATACCGTTAATAACCAGCATCCATTGTAACCATGTAAACATGAATCTTCTTTTGTTTCATTACTAGCCGAAATTTACCAAATGACCAAACACAGCCAAATAGGTACAGTAAGCATGGACTATTAAAGTCCTTTCTTTGTTAGTGGACAGTAAAATTTCCCCAAATAATACTTTCAACCGTGCACTGGAAGCCCTTTCATTTTAGATATCCAATTTTGGGGAGTTTTTTTTGTTTGTTTAACGAACCCCTATGCAACATGTTAGAAAATGTCCTTCTGTTGAATTATGCATACAGTTGTTTAATATTAAGACCTGCTTTTGTAAAAATAAAAATAAAATAATAATGCAAATATTCAGCAGTCTGAACGTATGCAATAACACACGATGTGTGCCAGGGTATTTTCTAGGGTAGGGTTATTGTTATATGCGCTAAACGAGAAATGCAAGGTAGTATTACATTCATGTTATTTTTACAACCAAGGGTATTCATATTCTGCCATCATCATTATACTTAATTGTGTGTCCTGAAATACACGGGTATGAGTATCATAGGAGAGGTACCGAAGTATCATTTCTTACAAGAAATACAAGGTACAAAGAGATAAGAAAATCAATTGGACATCGGATTTTCCTTTGACCTCTGCCCTATGGTAAGACCTCTGGGAAACAGTGGCGTACAAGAAGAAACTGCCTTTTGGAAAATCACTGCCTCAAAAGAACACCACATTTTGAAGAAAAAAAGCAGGCAAATATACGATATCTACCTGGATATCTAAGATATATCAGATGCAATTCAGTTATTACGATGGAGTTATATATTTAAATCCTGCCGGGGTAGACTATGAAAATGATTACAGGACAAATATTAGAATACATAACTTTATTCAAAGCTTTAGATGATATCATATTGCAAATTAAATTAATTTCAATTATTTTTGAGTTAAAGCCGCACTGTCCTACGTGTAGCTACTTGCTCCATCTATATAGAACACAATGCCTAATCGGTGACCATTGGTCCCCCATGATCCTCTTTTTCTTTTGTTAATTGAGAGCTGTGTTGATGAGATAACCACCTTTCCAGTGACCTTGCACAGTGGTCTAATTCCTCCTATAAACTAGTACAGATGAGCTTTACGGTTAGTAGGTAACACATTGTTGGTAGAATATAGCAAGTAGATTCGATATACGCTAACACACCATAGGAGCATTATGTACGCATTTAGAAAAGATAATAACCCACCAATTGGATTTTCATTTTACATTAAGAACAAGTATTAAAAATGGACAAAATCGTTTAGACAGGATTAGAGTGAAATACACAGAAGACAATTTTTAACTGAATTATGTGAAAGGCATTATCGGATAGGCATTATTTTGACGCGGTGCTTTGTCTGTGTGTTTTCTTTTGAATGTGGGCCTATATAAATATATATTCATCTCTGCTTTGTTATTTTTTCAAGAAGGATACGGTGTTGCAATTTGTAAGCATTATTGTTCTATTATTTAGCAATAATAATAAACAAATGATGATAATATTCCGCTTTTATATAGCGCTTAATACAAATGTCTCTAAGCGCTTTACATCATTACCCCAGTCATTGGATTCAATACTGGCCCACTCCCTGGGGAGCATTCCCGCCAGGCGTTACTTGACGCTCAAAAACTGTAACCCAAAGATGAATCCAAAGATGAACCCAAAGCTGAATCCAAAGCTGAATCTAAAATGTGTAATTGCATAACATATTTTGAATGTATTTATGTAAAGTATACTTTGATAGAATATTTTATGAAAAGCCAAGTATTTGATGGGCATTTCAATGATGATTATGATGATGATTGTAAGTACGGGAAAACAACTAGAAGGGTGTTGATGGGTGATAATGATATAGCAATGATGCTATCAATATGTTTAGCAATTATAACAACACATTGTTAGGATGCTTTATGAAACCTATTTCCAGTTTCAGTATTCTGGAGCATGACGAATAAAGGATGCTAAACCATACACGGTAAGAAATGAAGTCATAGTTTTTTTTGTATGGTATGGTTATTTTATTGATAACTATACAAGACAGTTAGGAATATTGTTTGTAGTATTTTATTTCAAATATTGATACTTTATTATGTCACTCATCTGTATATAATTATGTAGTGAAAGTTGATTGAAAATGTACTTTTTTCTCCTTTGAAATAGTAATAATAATAGTGTAAACTTATAGAGCGCATACACCGTCCTAGGACACTAATGGCGCTAATGAATTATGTGATATTTTGGTGATTCATAATATATTATTCTGTCATTTTCATCGTAGAGTTTTGAAGATGTTTTTGTGTTAGATCATCACATGAAGTTAGTGCACCTTTGACATATCGATTATATGTATGTATATTGCTCATCATTGTACATGTACATGCAATAGTACTCAAGGTCCTCAAAAACTATATTGAAATAGCGCCACCTTGTGCCCAAACCATCCTACAGTCAAACAGTGAAAACGTGATACTGGGGAATTGTTGCATCCACATGTTTATTTATTAATACTTCATCCAAGTTTATTATACTAAATACAAAAAAAATGTAGCTGATGTGTGGGTAGATTATAACTGATGTTATTATCCACATTATGAGGCTTTCATTTGTGTCTCAATGATACAGTTTTCACAGAGTGAAACGAACGGAACATCTGAATCAAGAATAAATGTTCAATAATGATCCTGTGAGACCTTTGTCTATTGTTTACTTTCTTCGGCCTCAAATGCAGTCACATATTTCCTATTTCCAGTTTTGTCAACGGCTTCTGCAATTTCCAAAAGAGTAAGGCAGGATTAAGGGGGACCAATTGAAACGCGACGTAAATTATTCCCCTCCTTTGAATTTTCAAACTACGTGTACATAATAGTATGTTTACAAAGTTTTCCGAAACTTTTAAACTAGCAAGAATTTTCTTTTATATAATAATAATAATAATAATAATAATAATAATAATGATTAAAACAGTATATACATAAGTATATATACATCTAACATCGTCATTACACGGACATATGTAGTGAAGAAATGAGTCATTAAGTAGACATGGTTAACGATTGAACAATATAATTACTGCCCTCTACGTACATTTGCAGGCAGAGGAAACTGATAGGCCTCCCGAGAAACAATATGTTTATTCATTAGTTATTAGTTTAATTAGTTATATTGTTTTGAATTTGGGTTAGGGTCAGGGTAATATACCACCTTTTATGATGTCCTGTTAATGTACCATTTGGGGTTATATATAAATGTCCTGTTATATATATCTGCATAATGAAACGCTGTAAGATGGGATATTTCAGCCATCAATAATTGAGAGAGGGAGAGAGAAAGAGAAAGAGAGATAAAGAGAGAGAGATGGAGAGAGAGAGAGAGAGAGAGAAAGAGAGATAAAGAGAGAGGGAGAGATGGAGAGAGAGAGAGAGAGAGAGAGAGAGAAGTAAACTCTTGTGTGACATTCTATAAAATATTTACATGCTCCTATAGTAACCAATATTATTCTGTGAATATACGTAGATACCTAGAATCGCACACGGTGCTGTATCATGATGACCCATTTTTGAGAGCAATCAATTGACATTTAAAGGATTAAATCACTGCAGGGGAGCTGTTATCATGGTGATGAAAAAAGTGTATTTTTTAACAATTGTGTTGTGAAGCAATTTTCACCATTCTTAAATAACTGTGTTTTCTGCTCCGATACTCTTCGCAAGGACATCTTAATTTCCCTAACTTTAATGGTTATGTCATTATTAATATTGTGCGGGATGGCGTAATGTGCAACGCACGAAAGGAAAAGAATGACCAATTAAGAATTGAGCACCCGCACAGCAAGGCTGGTAGACATATTGTTCTCTTATAATCGGCATGTTTGGTATTGTCTAAAAACCTAAACAGTCGATTAAGGCATCAACTAATCACCCCATTTCATTCGGAACAGCCTATTTACGATCGTTGAGCACCTATGTCCTATTATGTGGGACATGGGAGGAAAGAGTGGGCGTGTTCATTAAACCAGAATAGAATGCACTCGATCGGGATGCAAGTCGTGTTTTATGACGGGGACAAAGAAAACAAGTTTCTCCAAGTTGTCAGGCGAGCTGGCTCTTTATTTCACGAAACACCGCTTGGGCACAACATCTTGCTCTCTTTCAAACATGTCCACTTTTATTCTGGAATAGTTATCTGTTGTTTGTCATCATTTGAATTATCATTTTTTCGCATCAGCTCCAACATTGTCATTCAGCAAATTTAGAAGTAAACTACTTCGTCACAATAGCATTGGGATATTTAATTGAGCAATTGGCGCAACCTTACACTTCTAGAGGATAGTTGACCATCTACATTGCTTAGTGGAAAATACAAAATCAGATTTTAATTCGACGGCATCAGCTAACTTAATATGTTTTAACCATCGCATTCCTCTGTTACTCCTGAGAATCTCTAGCCTCAAGACATAGTGACCGTTTTCATTTTACACGAACCGTCAGCTTTCATTTAAACCAAATTTTAAAAAACGTGAATCTCGGTTTTTTTTTTAAACCGCAAAATGATATTGACACCGGAGGATGAGCAGGGCAAGGGCCTACCAAGTCGGATGACGTTCGCGGGAGTTGGTTCGTCTCGCACGAGTCTATGCGCCTCGCCTGATGACGATAAAGCAGCTTTAGACGTCGAAAAGGAAGACAGCGAAAATATCGGCAAAGATCCGAGTCACAGCGATGATGAAAGAAACAAAAGTCCAGTAACTAGTGGGAATAATGACAACGGAACGAGCGAGCATGAGATAGTAGATGATGAGGACGACCAGCTTCGAAACAAAAGTCCAGTAACTAGTGGGAATAATGACAACGGAACGAGCGAGCATGAATTAGTAGATGATGACGACGACCAGCTTAGAAACAAAAGTCCAGTAACTAGTGGGAATAATGACAACGGAACGAGCGAGCATGAGATAGTGGATGATGACGACGACCAGCTTAGAAACAAAAGTCCAGTAACTAGTGGGAATAATGTCAACGGAACGAGCGAGCATGAGATAGTAGATGATGAGGACGACCAGTTTAGATCCGATCACCATGAAGACGACGTCGATGCCAAGGTGGTCTCCAGTCCAAACCAGAACGACAATGATGTTAATGAGAGGAGAACAGATCCCGAAAAATCCGAGGACGAAGATGACGTCGGAAATAAGCAAGATGAGACCCGGTATTCTGACAATGATAATGTTAATGGTGATGACGGTATGAAATGCCCCACACCGCAGAACGAAGACGGTGTCGTAGACGATTCAAGTTGCAATGCCTTATCGGATGACAAACTTCTTTCTGTCATGCAGCAGGACGAGCACGAAGCCGTCGATGATGACCATCGTGACCCGTCAATATTTCATCTGACGAACGAATCAGCTTTGACCAATCCAGCATCGAATCTCCAAGATTCGATGTCGGCAGATCCTCATCCGCCATCTCCTCCTCCTCCTCCTCCTCACACCCTTGAACTCAACCAGCAGGGCTCTACTCGAAGTCTCCGAAGTTCGACGTCGAGACAGCACGGTGAATCGAGCCGAAGATATTCTGACTCGAGTCAGAGGACGATCAGGAGTGAACAATCGTCGTCCGGCTCATCGTCCGTCTCATCATCAGCATCTAGTACCGAGTAAGTATGTTTTAATTTTCATCGGGATTTTGTTTTTGTTTTCATAGGTTTTTATTCTCTTCATTCATAAAGAAAATTCTACATAATTTATAACATTGTATACAAAATTACAAAATAATCTTCACATAGGCCTAGGTCTAAATAAATTTGCAGGTGAACATTTACATTTTCATACAAGGTTACAAATAAATGAATTTACACATTTACAGATGAAAAATATTCATATAAAAAAAATTATATTTTCACATTTTAAACAAATCGCAAATAAAGTTTGTACTATTTCCTTAGACAAGTTTGCATATAAATTTCAAATTATTTCTTTTCTTTCCCACAATATGTATACAATTTTTTTCCCCTTCTAATAAAAAATAGAAAAATGAAAAATACTCGTGTATATTACTTGTTGAAAATTTATGCTTTAAAAGATAGGTGTTCCAGTAAATGAACATTTTAGTTGAATTGACGGCAAAGAATTAACTTTTAACTTTCCTGGAGCTGAAGCACAGTATAACTTGCATTTTGATCACAACTATATAAATAGTAGTTACTGTTTTCAAATTAACAATTCAAGCCTTGGAATTAAAATGTAAACAAATAAAAAGATTATGAGAGTAAAAGGAATATATCTATTAATCAAACCTTTGTAAATGGATGATTTTCTGAAATATGTCGAGAAAACCAAAATAAGGGCGAAAAACAATTTGCATGTAATGAAATTTAAATAAAGTCTCCGCAAATTAACTGACAAGTTAGTGCTTCATGATCGCTGACACATGCCATTCGGCAATTATTGATCTGCTTCGGTTGGGTGGAAAAACTGACCATGGAATCTTCAAAGAAAGTTTTATAATCCAAAACACGTACTCACGTCAATTATTTAGATGCTTTAAATAAACATCGATTGTTTAAGCGGAAATCAATGCGCATAGCCTTATGACCTCTCCGATCATTTATCCGTCTTTAATGGAGGGGTGCCAATTGCTTTCAGGGCCAGCTTGATTTCCACGGCACCATCCTATCACGCCTATACTAGGCGCTCCGACATTACCCTTTTCCTTCTTTTTATCATAACCCTTTTTTCGCTTTGAAGGAAGTTTTGAAAAGACAAGAAATAATTGGAAATCTATATGCAATTGTAAAAAATTGTTTGTGCGATTTGTTTAAAATGTGAAACTAAAATTTCGTTTATGTAAACATTTTTTTTCTGCAAACGTGTAACTTCATCTGCAAATATATTTTATATGAAAAATTAATTGTAACCTTAAAGGTAAATGTTCACTTGCAAAGGTGAAGATTATTTGTAATTTTGTATAAAATGTTATAAATTATGTGAAATTTTCTTTATGAGAGAAAAGAATAAAATCTATGAAAACAAAAAATTATGCACCGGCGACAGACAGTTGCTCCTGGCTTTATTTTTCCAAATTTTGTAAGATAAAGGGTTTTAGGTTAGGTTTAACGTCAGAATTAGAGTTAGGGTTGAAGTTGAAATCTCGGTAAGAGCATGTAAGAGTAGGATATTGATCGCGGAGCAAAAAAGGTATTACCTCTTTTTTGTGTGTTTGTTGCAATTTCTTGATATCCCAATCGCTCAGTGGTATCTAAGTGTGAAGAGAATGCCCTTCGAACTACTTATAATGCTATGGGAAAGGGGTAACTGTACGCCTATATTTTGAGACATGGATCGAAATATGTATTGTGGCCTTGGAATCGGCATTGGTAAATCAATAATGATAAATCAAAATCGATTTTAGCAACTGTCCACCAAAAAAGTATATTCTAATCTCAATTGCATTAACACTATTCTTGGGCTTTTTGATTTATTTTATAAAACATATAAAGGCCCTTTACAAAATGTATTGAGACGACTGTCCCTCTTTTTTTCTCCCGCTCTTATAATAATTGAAACAAAATCTGAAAGACTTTCGAGAAAACAAAAATTACCTTTCGTATATGATTTTCATGTGATATACAAAACGGTATTAAAATCATCCTTGAGTTGATTTTTAGGGAGTCTTTGCAATTGAGTTACGACGTAGTTCCAGTGTTTGAATCATTTTACACATTATTATATTCATAGATCATCGTCAGGAAGTGATTCGGGCTCAGGTTCCTCGGATTCAAATTCGGACTCGGAATCGTATTCATCGTCCAGTTCGTCGTCATCATCGAGCGACTCGGATAGCTGTTCGTCCGACAGTGGTTCTTCATCTTCCGGAAACGAGTCCAACTCGAGCTCCGACGGCGAGAGAGAGAGTGACGATATCGACGCCGGTACGAAATATCGCATTGCTTCGGAGAAATACGAACGGGTATCAAGTAGGGATTCGGGACGGTCATCGAGCTTTTCGTTTGCGTCTGCAAGACATACAGACATGGAGACGAAAAGGAAATCCCGCGGGAAGCGTTTGCTTAAACATGCGAAGTCGCATCATACGAAAAAGACGCAACACGGAAAGTATAAGGAGCGAGTTGGAGAAGTACATCAAGAGACTTGTTCCACTGTATGCGTTCTATTGTAACATAAAAGACATGAACCACCACATTCCGTATTCAATTGATAATCGGTGATAGATTATATTTACTGAAGAAAGAAAACAAATCACTGTATTATATAATGATGGCTGCATTGTGGTATGTCTAGCCATGGAATTATCCACAATTATATATAAATAAACATGCATATACGCAATTTTTTAAAGAATAACATTACAAATTAAAGAGAGGGTGTTAACTACGAAAATTTACACAGTTAAAAGGCATTTTGTTGTGCAATTTAGATCGACCGCTAGTCATGCTAGTAGGCCTATTCAGCCGAGGGCACAGACGGCTTATGCCCCTATGCCCCATTGCCGTTTACAATTCTACATAGTAATGATTATTGTTATACAACAACCTTTTATTTAAAAAAAGCAGATTGAAGGGAAAAGTGTTAAATTAATTTGAATCTTTAAATCTCAAAACTACCAAAGATCATTCCTCTTTTTCAACTAGCAATTTGACAAAAACGAACCAAGAAATTATATCAGTATAAGCCTATTAATTTCCCTTTTAAATCGCATATTGGAATAACAAGATTATTTCATTTTATGTTATATTATATCAATTTTCCAATTAGGCACAACATTTGCCAAACTATATCGTAACAATATTTAATTTTATAAGATTTTTTAATGTTGTATATTTGACCTACTATATTTCTCTCACTATTCTTGAATGTACATCAATGGACGATAAGAAAGTTATATTAAATGTCATATTTTGTCAGTAACAAGAATGATTATCAAGAACCCTAGATTTGTTTTAGCATTTGATGATTTTGAATTTTCTTGAGCATGGTTTATCGTTATATAAATTGGAACACATTCGAAATTCCGGATTATTTACCCCCCCCCCCCCGCACCTGGAATGATGTAATCCATACCTGTTTTTAAAAGTTTGTTTAAAAGGTGCCGATTCTGTGGGTACGTAGGGGGCAGACAGCGCTTCTACCCTCCATAAATAATTTCAAAAACCAAGCTTCCAAACGCATTTATATGCCAGTGTTTTGTGAGATATATTGTAATAGGGCAAAAGGAAAGGAATATTTATGAGAGTGAGGACAAGGCTGAGGGATCGGATCGAGTCAGAGAGAGGTTGAATTGAACAATGATGATATCCTAAACATATATGCATCTTAACCTCACTTTATAATAATAATAATAATAATGTATTACAATAAAAAAGCGCTTTATACGATGTTTCTAAGCGCTTAACAAAAACACAAAGTAAAATTTACTTCCAAGTTACAACATTTTTATACATTGTACATAATTCTAATAACAATCTCCTAACAACAATTATATAATAAAAACTAATATTTACATAAGGCTTTATAAAATTAACAAACGAAATATAACTACATTACATATTGAACAGATAAGTTTCGAGTTTACTCTTGAAGGTTTCTAAAGTTAGGGAATCGCGTATTTCATTGGAAAATGTGTTCCTAAGTTTGGGGGGGGGGGCACAAACAAAAAAGGCACGATTGCTTTCCATTGGGGACTGGAGAGGTGACTAATGGACATGCATTCTCAACTATGGATCGAACTATAATGATACCTACAGATTAGCTAATCCTTTGTCCAAGTAAAAATAGCAATAAACTAAACTTCCCTTTGTAACAATGACAGATTAACGCCGGGATTAACGCATCTGTCTGAGACGAAGAACTAATGTTGTTACGGAATTAGCTAACTTGTTTCTTTAAAATCATTCACCGTACATACGGATACGTCAATCAGTCTTGTTTTTTTAGCATTAGGCTTCCTTTAATATGTTTTCATCATCAATAGTGATCTGTAAGTTTATGACAGGTTCAGTGACCCAATCAGAGTTCAACTTCAAGTGTCTCTCCAAGTACTGCGGTCTTTAGCCATCCGTTTCAGCATTTCATATCCTGTTGCTCCACATTCCGCAAGAAAGCTAGAAAGCCTTTATGAGGTCTTCCCCTCAATTTCTTTCCATGTAGACGGCCTTCTAGGACTCTGATCATCATTATATCATCTTGCCGCATGATGTGTCCATTGTCCAAGCCATTTCTTCTGTTTTACTTGTTGTAAAAAGAAATTATGGATTGCACCACTAGATAAGGCCGCGTGCTCTCCGTTGATATGTTCAATGATCAAACCAATTACCTCATGACACATGTGGAAAGACTGACCATGAAATCTTCAAAGAAAGCTTTATAATCCAAAACACGTATTCACGTCAATTATTTAGATGCTTTGAATAAACATCGATTTTTTTAAGCGGAAAACGTCGGAAATCAATGCGGAGTCTTATGCCCCCCCCCCCCTCCCCCACTCCGGAAACGGAGGGACCGCAATGATGTTCCCAAAATGTCCGGTAAAGGGGTACTTTCGTTTAGGGGGTGTCTGGAAAATCCGTGATCACGCATGCTTACAGTATTCCTACATGACTGAGAGCCCCGGGGATAAAGGTTAGGGTTGCAATAAAGTTGTAGGGTCGGTTTAAGTTGAAATCTCGGTAAGAGGATATTGTTCGCAGAGCAAAAATGGTATTGTCTCTTTTTTGTGTTTGTTGCTTGATATCCCCATCGCTTCTCCGTGGTATGTGACGTCTTCATCTATATTGAACAATATAAATGCCTGTGAACTAATGACGCCTAAGTTTAAAGTCTTGACATCTATTTGCCACAAGCGCCGATTAGCACAAAACAACATATATCAATCAATTGAAAGAGCCAGAGTGATTGCTATTTGCAACGCGAAAACTTTGCAAAATCACCGATTTTCCTTTCTTGAGTAGGTACATGACAACCATTTTAACCACCTGTGTAGATTAAATTTACACTAGAATTATTTAAATGATCTCGAATACTTTGGTATGACTATCCCATGTAATGTGGCGCACTGAGATCATGTGCATGGCACACAGAGTTAATGTTCAAGATGAACTGTTTAGTCCATTATTGTCTTTAAAATAATTGTGACCCATCTATAAGAATCTCACATTTAATATGATCCTTGAGATACTATTATCAATATCTTTACAATTATCTTATACAATATCAACATTGTTCCTTTACACAAAGTGGCCTCAATATTAAGGGGTATTGCTAGAAGATTTTGAATGAAAAAACAAACTTGGGTCCAACTTGGATGCTGAATTGTTTCAATCTTCAAGCCTACAAACACAAAAGGCGTAGAATTTTCATCATCACCATCACTTTTACCTTGTCACCGCTAAGAGCATTACTTGAAAAGTACCTACATGTGCCATCTCCTTCTCAACACCACCACCGTCATCATCAGCAGCAGCATCCCCATTCATCATCATCTTCACCATCGGCAATACAATCATCAAGAGCATCTCCATTACACCATCATCATCCTTAATCATCATCACTATCATCCTCTAGTATCATCTTTCTCATCATACTTACAAGTATCATTACTATTCTCCATTATCAATCTTCTCTTTTATCATTATCCTTCATCTTTCATCATCATCACCATCATCATCATCATCATCATCAACATCATCATCACCATCATCATCATCATCATCACCATCATCACCATCATCATCATCATCATCACCATCATCATCACCATCATCATCATCACCATCATCATCATCATCATCATCACCATCATCATCATCATCATCATCATCACCATCATCATCATCACCATCATCATCACCATCATCATCATCACCATCATCATCATCATCATCACCATCATCATCATCATCATCACCATCATCATCATCATCATCATCATCACCATCATCATCATCATCATCATCACCATCATCATCACCATCATCATCATCACCATCATCATCATCATCATCATCACCATCATCATCATCATCATCACCATCATCATCATCATCATCATCATAATAAGCATCATATTTTTCAGTTAGTAAACTTTTCAGTTAGTAAACTTTAACAACAGGACTTTCATTCATGCAAGTATACTTGAAATGGGAGGAAAAAACTTTAGTAGGTTTTTCAAAGAGTAAATAATGATTTATTTCTGTCATCTTCAAAAACTTCATGAATGTTCAAATATCTTTGTACACCTGATCTGATAGGGTGAAAGAGAAGACAACAATTTAAATTTCCCAAACAATTTTCTAGCATATTTCACCCTACAGACCTATCTGCCTCTAAACTACCAGTGAGGTGGATCCAGGTTAGTCAGATAGGATATAGACAAATGATCCAAACTAGTTTCATATTCACATTTATCTTCATACCTGAATTTACTCATGATGTGATTCAAAATTCTATTTAAAATTACTGATATGTATAAGTCATATAACTGTCTTGTTATATTTTGTGCTGAAAGCCGGAGGACCGTACGTGCTCATAGACTTTTTGTTTTTGTCTTGTTTCACATATTACATGGTACACCAATGGAAAACAAATTTCTGTATTATAATTATATGGCCAATTAAATCTTGAATCTTGAAATCCTTGAAGTCTACCAAAGACACCAGTTGGTTTCACACAGTATAAGGCGGCAAGCCTGAATAGAGACTCTGACATGTTGGAGTCCCATACATGAAGTGTAATATCATCAAATTAATAAAGAAATTGCCTTAGGAAGTTTTTGACCAAATTAAGATTTTTGCTTAACTTCAGGTCTTCTCTATGAGGATCTCCTAGTATTTGAGGCTCTACATCGATTTTCAATCTTAAACTGATTATTAGTTAACATACGATGAGCCTAAGTCAAATGAAAGAGAAATTAAACTGAAGATTTCTCTTTTTTCTCAGGAGTAAGAATCACTTAGGCATTGATTTTATTAAAGGCATCGTTTAACAATGTTAAATCGGAGATGCATGGCCCTACGTGTTATCAGTGTGTGTAATATGGTGTTATAGTGAAGCCCTAAAAAAATAACGCTTCAAAATGATCAAGAAGTTCCTCAAAAAAGTTTAAAATCTTTGAGTGACCGGTTTTACCATACTCTTTCCCCCAAAAGACTGTTGTGTTTTGAAAACGCAAAATTTGGTTTTGATTTCCAATCATAAATATCTTGATAATCAGACAGGTGATCGGCTTGTAAAAGTCATGGGGTTCCTGACTGACCAAAGGTTTATAATTATCATTGCAGCACGAGCTAAATCCAGGATTTTGTTTCAGAATCTGAGACAATGTTACCGGATCCCTTTTATGTGACTAAAGCCTGCAATTGAGAGGTGTCAGGGTCTAAAAACTGACATCCCTAGTCTGTGATTCTTGAATGAGAAGCATCGCATCTAGATAGCGACTGACTGTTGGTTTTGAAAGGGTTGAGCTGCAACTCATTCATTTCCTTCCGAGATCTGCCTATGGCTTAAACTCAGACATCCAGCCTGATTAACCATAGTCCTTTGGACAAGTTCTGAGAAGTTCATAAACATATGAGTCATATTTCAGAAGTTCAGAAGTAATTCGCAAACATATCTATTTAGCACTGATCTCACAATTATGAACCCAGCGCACCATTTCCACTCCTTATGTATTGTTCTGTAAAGCGCATAGAGACATGCAATGATGCAATTATACCTTTGTGTTATGCACTATACAAAAATGTTTGATTATTATTATTATAAACCATAAAGGTAATTCAGACAAGATGTGGTAAACCATCTCCCTTAGCCACCCCCCCCCCCCAGAAAAAAAAATGGAAAAAAAAAATGGGAAAAAAAATGCCCTGACAGGAAAACTGTTTTGAGCATCGTGGTACAACATATGTTTTTTTACAACATAAAATCTAAAAAAGTTAGGACTCAACTCATTAGAAACAACATTAGTGTTTCATCATAATAAAATGTACAAATTCCCACAATTTGTCACATATAGTTTTTTAAAAGCTGACATTCTGTGGAACTTGAAAAAACGCACATCGTCTACTGAGATCCAGATGGGTATCAACTCATATGCTTCTACAAAGAACAGACATCCTTCTGGATCTAAACAAACAAGATGATCCTTAGTACTTGGAAGAAATTAACTCGCATCAAGCAATTTGCTAGAAAATAAAACTCTGTCTACATGGATGGACTCCTACAGAGAGGGTCTTGTGTGATAGCAAAGTCCCTGATATTGAAGGAAATGATCAGCTTCTTGATGATCATGATTAAAAAGAGTAATCTCAGTCTGCAGACCCAGCTGAATTTCTCTTCTTTTTCTTCTCTTTCCTGAAGGCTGCGCTGCTTGCTCCCTTTCCACCAAAGCTCTTAGGCCTCGGAGCACCCCCTTTAGGTGTCACGTTCATCTTTTTCTTCTTCATGACCGAGACTTTCCATCCGCTCTTTGTCGTCTTGTCTCCCTGATCCTTCTTTCCTTCTTCCTTACTATCAACAGTTACCTTAACCGCTTCCTTCTCACTTTCTTTTCCTTGCTTTACTCCTTTCTTCCCCTTTGATGATTTGGGCACTTTGGGGCTCTCCTCTTCTTTGGACTCGGCAACATCAGAGGAGGAACCTGATTTTCCATCTTTCCTTTTCTTATTCCTCTTTTGGACTGCAGGTGACATTGTCCTCTTCTTTCCCTTTCCATTCCCTCCTTGTCCCTTCCCTTCATCAACCTTTCCCTTCTGTCCATCCTTCATCTTTCCATTCTGTTTCTTGGGTGATCCTTTCATCTGGTTCTTCTTTCCTCCTTTGCCTGATTTTGGAGGGGTTTCCATGGTTACTTGCTCCTCCTCTCCCTTTATCTCTACCGGTTCTGTGTTGTCCCCATCATTCGCTGGCTCAGACTCTTTCTTCTCAGAATCTGTCACATTGGAGGAAATAAGATGAGAGAACAGGGGAATAAAAATATTGGATACTTCTCAATTCCTTTTTATAACTGGTAAAAATAAAGAGCCTAGTATAGTATAAAGCTGAATCGAAGCTGAATTTGAGATTGATATCAATCAGAACTCGGCAAGTGAGAAATAGGTGATGGTATTAGTCTGTGATTGACTGGAGGACATGTGATCGATTGTAATCAAACCTGACTCTTTTGAAGACAGGGCTTAGGTGTATCTTCAGTAAAATCTAAGAATATTTATTATTTCCATGTAAATGAATGCAAGCAATTTTGAGTCAGCAAAACTTAAATGATATAATTACAAAATTTCAAAATATACATTCAAGAGATATAATGAACTCTATACATTTCTTTTCTATTCTTTATTCAGACATATTTTACACCATCTCATGATAGGGCTAAATGGGCTATAATTGTTTTAGACAAATTACCAATAATGTGTCTTCATCTATATTGAAAAGGTAGCTATATAGGCTGTTTATAACCTTCCCAACCCCCTTTCTAGATCCTTCAGAGGTATAAAATCAATCTTTTAATTCTGTGCAGTTTTTTTATATGATAAACGTTTATCATATATATTTCTCATACTTTGTAAGGGTTGGGGTGACAGAAAAAAAAAGAAAAAAAAAGAAAAAAAAAAAAGGTCTTGTGTCTCACCTGGGATCTTATTGGATAGTTTTTTGAGCTTAGCGAAGTAGAAACCATCCATGTTATGAGTGTGAGGATAGATACGTCTAGACAGCTTCAGGGACGGATGGAAGTGACGGGCTTTGAACCTACAAGCAGATCAGTGAAAGAATTAGAAGTTTGGATAAGTAAAACTGAATAGGAATACCATTCTACACCTGTTTGATTATTTCATTCAATAATAATATTCATATACAGTCAAACCTGTCTATAGCGACTGCCCAAGGGAAAAACAAGAAGGGGCCTTCGTAGACAGGTTCCTTTAGTACATGATTCAATGAGAAACCATTTTCAAGGGAAACAACAAATGTGGCCTTTGTAGACAGGTGGTCTTTGTAGACAGGTAGTCACTAAAGCAGGCTTGACTATATCTATCTGTAATTTCATTTAGACAGGGTGGTAGTGTCGATAAGAAAGACACTTTCCAGAAGGGTCCTGTACACATAATATGTTTAAATATTCAATTACAAAAAAATTTATTCCCTCACACATATCAACAATTTTTAAAAATGTTCATAACCATATTCAAAAAGGGTTACAGTAAACGTGGTTAATCAAAAAGGGTAGAGGAATTTACATAATGCCACTGTTCTTTAATGAGGTCCTATTACTAATGATTTGAAGACTAAAATAGAATAACCTATCACAAGGCAAACAAATTAAAACATTTCTTTGAGAATATGAGAAATATGAAAGACAAGTTATATTACCTTGAGAATCCATCCTGCCCAAAGTCTATTCCCGTTGGTACCAGTCTGACGTTACGCTTCTTGAGGGCATAATCAACCACCCATTCATTCTCTTCAACCTGTAACCATGGAAACAATAATAATGATAATTCACAATCCATGTTATTATACCAGACTATGGATTACAAGGTATGGTGTACCAATCTTTGCCACATACTACCATCCTCTAAACATCGTAAAATGCCATTCCTTATCATAGTAGCTAGGGGTAATGAAGATCTTCAGTACTTTGTTGTCTCAGGAAAAAGCACAATATAAATCAACCTAATATTATTACCTTCTTCTCTAAAATAGTGCTTATCATGCTAATTATAGTGTATACTACATAGGTGCTCCTTACGATGTCAAAATCAACCTAGTTTCGTGATTTTTATCTTATCATTTCTTTCACAATTCAATTAGATGGCTACAATTAATCTTTAAAATGAAGAGTTTGTTCCTACCATGATCTAACAGATAAAAAGAGAGAGAGAGAGAGAGAGAGAGAGAGAGAGAAAAAAAATATGGAGAGAGGGAAAGGGAGGGAGGGAGGAAAAGGAAGAGGCAGAAAGACAGCGGGAGGAGTGTGGAGAGAGAAAGAGAGCCTCTTGGCAGTTTAGATCATTAGGAAGGGATCAAACAGTAAAAGCCAAGTCAAAAAGTCTTAATATGAAGATTTCCCTATGAACATCACTGATGTGTTGCTCTTTGTACCCACCATGATAGAGCATGTAGAATAGACGAGGTATCCTCCTGTCTTAGAGTTAGCATCGATAGAATCAATCGCTGCTAGGATGAGCTCCTTCTGAAGGTGAGAGCACCGCTGGATGTCCCCCTCATCCTTACTCAGCTTGACCGCTGTATCCTTGGCGATGACCCCTGTACCACTGCAGGGAGCGTCCAGCAGCACTCGGTCAAAGCCACCCATTACCTGGGGTGAGATTACATAAGCTTCACTTTTAAACAATCAAGCCATTTATTTTCGATCAAAGACGTAGACTAAAAGACATGCTAACAGACAAGGTGTCACAAACACAACAAAAGCAATAAATACACAAGATTTTTAATGTAATTTTCTACATAGTGATAGGGATTTTTTTTTCTTCTTCTCTTCTTCACCCTTTGGATATGAAAGCCTGAGATAAGTTGTGATGTAGTTTAAGGAAAATGCATGTTAAGCCAAAATCTAATCAAATAGAATGGATAAGAAAGTGACAGAAATGGAGGCTTGTGCAAAACAAGACAGAAAGGATAGAGAACAAACTTTAACAAATAATAAACAAAGTCACACACAGAGATATTTCCACACGCATACATACAATCAGACAGAAGGAAGACAAAGAAGAGACAAGAAAGCAAAGGCAGATAGAAGGCAGATTTTCAAAAACAGAGACAAAGGGATTGAGAGGAAAAGGGAGACAAAAACCGGATAGAGTAAGAGACAACAAAAAAAGTGTGCAAGACAAACTACTAAAAAAATGAATATAATTTATAATGAAGACATACTGAAGCTTCAAGTAATGATAAACTGGAGCTTTTCGTCTTACACTTCTCAGAGGAAAGCATGGCAATTAGTCTCCACTTTTATAATACTACGCATCTGTTATTATAAGGTCCACCGTAAACAGTAAATGCCCACCTTAGGGAATGACTTTCCATCTTCGTTGCAGATGACGGTATTAGTGATCCCACATCTATGAAGGTTACCCACGAGGGCGCTAACCCTCTTCTTATTAGCATCATTGGCAAACAGCATTCCTGTGTTCTTCATCAGAGCAGCTAAAGGATGACGTGAGAGAAGAATAGCACAGGGTTACAATCAAAATTATGACATACGGTACAGGTAATTTTTGTGGATGAAACTGACACCGACATTTTTTAGATTAATTGTTTTCTTGACTTGTTATCTAAGCCACAATTCCAATTACACATGTATTTTATTGGCTGTAACAAAAACAAAACTGGATTTATATACCACATTTTCCAGAGGAAAGAAGGTACCATCTCTTAGTCCAAGAACAAATTAAGGATTGTAGAGGTATTTTTTCAGATGTTTTTCCTCATCTCCATGTAATGCACTGTATGGGAACTGTCATGTGATGTTAAACTAGTGACCCGTTAACAATTGTTATAAAAAATCATGAAAATAAAACACGGACGAAAGTATCCTGGAAATTACAGCATTCCCCTTCTTGTTTGCCACTACCGGTAGTATTTGTCAACAATTCTAGTAGAAGTAAGCAGATTTCAGGAGGAATCTCACCTATATATGTCGTCTTGCTGCCCGGTGAGGCGCACATGTCCAGGATCTTCTCACCCTCGTGAGGGGCGAGAGCCATGACCGGTAGGAAACTGGACGCACCTTGAAGGACGTAGTGACCAGCCATGTACTCGGGTGTAGCACCTACATAAAGAAAGGTAAAGCTGGTTTTGAAGAATCTGTAATGTCAGTGGCGATGTTGTCTCCCTATAAAATAAACTGTTTTAAATAACAACGGTGCTAGGACATATGCTTCAATGGCCCGAATTCACAAAGCAAGGTTTGAGCTCAGACCAAGGTTTGACCTCAAACCTCCTTTTGTTATTTACAAACCTGGTTTGTAAATAACAAAAGGAGGTTTGGCGAAACAAAAGGAGGTTTGAGCTCAAACCTTGGTCTGAGCTCAAACCTTGCTTTGTGAATTCGGGCCAATGAGTCTGAAAATTACTTAGGGCTTTAATTCATCAAAGTTACAGGTTGAGGCATAGGGTTGAAGTTTAGACATCACTTGGTGTAGGATACTGACTCCTGAGCAGTTGTCAATTGGAAGTCTATTGGAATCATTCATGATCTATTTATTTGTATTTTGAAAATGTTCTAACTTCTGTAGCACAAATAGAGTTGTTTGCTGTTTAACTCTTTAACATGCAGAAATACCTTTAGGTGCCAAAAAAGTGACTTTTGCACAATAACACCACACATTTAATTTCTAAATTTAAAACATGAAATGATTAATACACTATTTGGAGAATATATAAATTACAACAAAATGATAAAACTTACCAACAGGGACAGCTGAATCGTAGATAACCAGTCCAACTTTTGTCCATTTACCGACTGGATCTAGATTGACTCCTCGGTTGATCAAAGCCTGCAGTACAGAAACAAATATAAGGCGAGAGATAATTGAACAATGTAAAGTTTTCATGAACAAACTGAGTAAAATAAAACTCTGTGCCCACAACCTAATGCAGATCTGATTTCAAAATCTCTGTCTATTATGATGAGACTAGAAATTGAAAATTTTGTAATATCACAAATAAAACAAATGATACCTCATTGGAAAAGATTGCGATTGATTGGAGAACTTCCAACGGGGCCCTGGATTAAAAAAAACTTAAATTATTGAAGCTCTGAAACATACCTGGGCCAGGTCCCTTCTCCTGGTCTTGAGTGAGTTGGTCCTGATAGTCACAGGTCTTGCTACCTCATTGGCCTCGAGGAACTCTATCAGCTAGAAGAAGGAGATACAAGAAAGACAGCTGATTAGTCTTAGCATTGGCTGGTAAACTACACAATCTAATGATGATGATCCATAGCACTTGTACGTGCCCTCTCCTTCAATAGTCGTGGACTACACATTTGCCTGAAGAAAAAAGGGTTTTGAGGCTTGACTCAAAGCTTTTCAGCTTGTCAATGTCGCGGAGAGTAGGTGGGAGGGAATTCCAGAGGCGTGGAGCAACTAAAGAGAAGGCACGATCACCATACATCTGTAGTCATGTACGTGGAAATTGGAGAAGAAGTAGTCCTGACGAGTGTTAACCCGGACGAGAATGATGTTCTTCAATCAGGGAAGACACATATCCTGGGGCCTGATCGTGGACAGCCTTAAATCTCAAGATTTTAAACTTTATCCTGTACTCAACCAGCAACCAGTGCGATTCTTTCATTAATACATGTTCATAAATGAATTATCATAACACAAATTCGACAGTTGGCACCTTTGGTATTACATTGATCTGATAAAAAGTTAATAATGACATTCTTATTTAAAAATCAGAACATTTGCAGAATACTGAACCCAAAATAACTCAAGAGGGAGTGTATGGAACAGGCATAGTATATCAAAATAAAATCATATCTAATGAATATTAGATATTATTCTATTACGACAAAAAAATATTCATGTAGTTATGTACGTAGTACAAGTCCCTGACAACTTATTTCAACAAAAACCTAAAAAATAATTATTGTTACTATATTCTTTAACCCTATTTAGCCCGGGCTATTTTGAAACTGCATAGCCCGGGGGGGGGGGGCTTCTCAGGCCCCCCCCCCCCTATGATCTCGGCCGTGAAACGCCCGATCGCCGCAAAAATTTGCATACATGTCAAGTGAAGTGTAAAGAATACTATGGTAATTTCAATTTTTTGAAAAATTCACTCATTTGCATATTTATGGTAATTTATGCAAATAAGGTCATAAAATTCACATTTTTGCCCATAAATCAGACATTATTCATATTTAAGCATTCTTTCTCACTGCATATATTTGTTAGACCATTTGGAATAATAATACAACACAAACAATTGAAAAACCAGGGTTATTCCTTATGTTATCTATTGTTTTGATAATTTCTTATGTATTTCTTTGTTTTTTTTACTTATGTATTTTATTGTTTTTGTTGTTTTATTTCATTTTCACCTATAATTCAACTATTTTGACCCCAAAATAAACACCTTTAACTATCAACAAGACCAAATAACCAATGTTTTATCTGTTTGTTTGAAAAATGAGATTTCCATATGTTTTGTACACAAATCACAAAAATGAGCGATTTTCGGGCTGACATGCGAAGACAAAAGGACACGTGACTTTGTAATGGTAGGTCCGATTTTCGAAAAATTTCTTTCAAAAGATGCGCAAGACTTGAAAGAAAAAAGTCACAAAATTTCAGTGCAAAATTTTCTCGCGTTAAAAAATTATCGCGAAAAATGTTGAGGGGGGGCTTCTCAAGCCCCCCCCCCCCCCGGGCTAAATAGGGTTAAGAATAAAGCCTGACTCCAGATTACCATACCTCTGAAAGAGGAAAGAGGTCCATGATCTTCGTGATGAGGAATTCATTGTAGCTGTAGTAGGTCATAAGGTCCTGTCGTAGCATGGTCACATACTCCTGGCGAGATCTGAAAGGTCAAAGGTGAAAACTAGTGAAATCATCTTCAAGAATGGTTGACATTTAGAAGTTAAACATGAAGTATTAAGTGTAATAAGCTTGATTATACTATCTTAAAAAGAAACACATTTCAAACATTCAGTGTAAATCTCGAAAAATGCATTCAATAATGAGATCAGTAAAAGAATGAAATTGCTTGTGAAATAACTCCTCAAGTTAAGATAATATCCATGATTTGGTGATTTTTTTTGTATGAAGGTAGCAACAAAGTTAATAATAATAATAATTTCCGTGTTTATATAGCGCTCAATACATTGATCCAACGATGTGCCTAAGCGCTTTACAGATATATTATTACCCAGGTTATCGGATTCAGGCTAACCCACACACAATGTATGCACATTTTCCACTCCCTGGGGAGCATTCCAGCCAGTCGCCATTTTACAAGCGCACACTTGCTCGTTCAACCACATGAACGTTCGTATCCCACCGGGTACCCATTTAACACCTGGGTGGAGAGTAGCAAGTGCAGGTAAATATCTTATACATTTTCCATCAATGAATGTAGAAAAATTTTCAGTAACTTTCAGGGAGATTTTTATATTTTGTTGACACTTTCGTTTTAATTGATAGTGAAGTAAAATTTCATAATACCAAGGATGATAATAATATTAATAGTTTGTTCTTTTATAGCGTTTTTTTCAGGACCGCAGGCCCTCTCAAAGCGCTTTACAGATATATATGATGTTAATATCTTTTGTATTAATCCTCTTTCTTACCTGTCCTCTTCTCTCCTGTTCTTGAAGTCACCGAGTACCTCCATGACCTCCTTGATCCTCTGATGGACCATGCTCAGATCAGTGGGCTCGGACGGTGTGAACAGTCAAGGAAAAACATAATTCCACCTAATTCTAACCCTCGATTTTGGTATGATTGATCTCTTGCCTACATACGCCAAAGAGCAGACATGATTCAGATATGCAAAATAATGCATGGCCTAGAAGAGCTGGATCCAGCACACTTCTTTGACCATCCAACTGATAATAGAACCCGTGGTCATCGATACAAGATCACTAAGAAGCAAGTTTACTCGAAGAATAGACATGGATCATTTTCTCAGAGATGTATCAATGAATGGAACAATCTCCCCTCTGTAGTTGTGGAGAGCACTTCACTTAATATCTTTAAATCAAATTTGTCTAAATTTTGGTTGTCAAGAAGAGATGAATTTGACCAAGAAGAGCCCTTCGTTTGTCCAACTGCTGTACAGCGCCACTAAACATGCGTCCCAAGATGGATTCTTCATCCTAATGTCAACGAGAGGCAAATACGTTTTTGAATTTAAATGCCTACCGTATTTGCCGGCGATAAGGCCGCACCACTGCATAGGCCGCACCGCCGCATAGGCGGCACCCCAACTTTGACATTTCAAAGAGGAAAAAAAAAAAAAAAAAAAAAAAAAAAAAAATAATCATAATTTTCTTGAAAACACTAAATTTTTTTTACAAACTGATACCAAATTCATCCATATTCTTATAATTTACCGGAAGTTTAGCTAAAAAAAGTGATCGCAGGCAGATTTGGTGTCCGATATACCCCTACCACAATGTATGGTGTAATGCGAAAATGCATGAAATGGAAAAACAAAATGGCAACTTTGGATGGATGTTCGCAGCAGCTCCGTTAGATGGGTCCCTTCCTTTACTTTTGCAATGCATGGGCACGAACTTAGATCAAGATCTATCGGCAGATGTTGTTTTTGGAACTTTGTTTTCGTATTCATGTCAACAATGCAAGATAAAATTGTGGAAATGTATAGTTATTGTATCGTTCGTAGATCTAGTCCCATATGTGCAAATTTGTGCTGGTTTTGACTTACTTTTTTTTTTTTACTCTTTCGTCGTAAAGGCTGCACCCCAAATTTTTGATATTTTCTCTTCCAAAAATACTGCGGCCTTTATGCCGGCAAATACGGTACTTCCAAGGTATATTTCCAAGATATATTAGTGAGTAAGCATTTTTCAAGAGACCTATACACATAAATTAACATTCAAAGCAATGATTATGGACAAAATGAGGAATACAGTGTATTTTGTATGCTTTCACACTAAAGCTTTCAGAAAAAGACAGAAATTTAGAGTTCAATGCATCGGTTTGAATAACAAAAGAATTATCATTCCTCCAAAATAGGTAGTAGTAGTCAATAGCAGGGGTCTTGTTAATTATTTTTGAAGGAGGTAATTTGAATTTTATAGGAGGTACCATCACTGCGAGGGAGCGAACCGACCGAGGGGGGGGGGGAGGGTGGACACCCCCCTCCCACGGTAGGGACCTTTTGGGATTTTCCACTTGAAATCGTGCAATCTGGTGCATACCTAAGTCTAAGAAGAAAATTTGTAGTTATCTTTCCTACCTTGTATTACACATAGGGTCTAGTCTATATTGTAATAAACACACATAGACCTCTATTGTTCATGTTTAATATTACATGAACAATCATAACTCATAAGAAAAGTTATTAAGTTGATAATTATTTATCACTTTGTACCATTACTTTGTAATTTTTAATTAAACTGAGATGATGCACCATAGGCCTACTCAATCTTTCTACATCATGATTTGTTGAATACATGTACAGTAGACCTATTTAAATAATGGGCAGCAGAGGCTAGATTTTGATTTTTTTTTTTACTTGTGACTTTTATTTGGCTCCCCATATGAATTCTCATTTAATTATTTTTTTTTGACATGAAATTATTGAATACATTTAAGAATTTACTTCAGTTCCTGTTCATTTCGAGATCGATTGCGATCGGAAGTTAGTTTTGAATATTCGCGGAGCGCGAGCCTGCATATATCATGCGAGCTAGCTGCGGGGGTCCGCCGGGGACGGCCGTGGCCGGCCTAAACTCAGCCGGGTTCAAAACTCTGTTGCCGCTTTGCACATCTCAGAATCTAAAGTACGTTGTCTCTAGACATTGCACGCACGTGTATAGGCCCCGGTTTCCGTGATCTTCAAATATCAAATCGGCAACGGATAGTTTGGTTACAGCGAGCTAGCTTCAGTTTTGTTATGATCAGTGTGTATATATTTTGTGCAGTGCATTGTCTTCTCGCGTGCGCATCAGGATCGCAATGGGGTAGGGACGGGCGGGCGGGCTTGGCCGCCGCGCTGTGGGGGGAGAACTGCGATGTAACGTTAGATAGATAGGTCTAGGTAAGTACGGACGACGTCGCGTTCGTGATCGTAAGGGATTTCGTCGACTGCGGCCGTGTATGTGCGGCACTAATTATATCTTGGACGAAATTAAGGAAATTTTGGATTAGCATTGATTTAGATCTACTTTCTGTGATTTTTGCAAGGTTTATTATAGGAATTATAGCCGGTAAGAAACGAGTGAATAGGCGGCAAGTTTTACCGGTTACCGGCTTTAAACGACAGCCCTGGTCAATAGTACAAAGAATATAATAAGTTGTTATAAACATGTGACTTAAGCTGAAACGTAAACTACAAAACTTAATTTAATTTTTTTCCCTCAAATTGAAAGAACAGACTTGTTTTTTTCTGAGGGCATGTACAAATATGCTAATGAAACCATAATATATCTTCAGAAAAAACATGAGGAACTTTTTTTCTGCTTTTGAAGAAACAAAACGAAACTATAAAGAAATATCTACTGATATTGCAAAAGGATATCTTCTTTCTCAATCTCTTCACCGCTTGGAAGCTGAAACGTTTCCGTCTGCGAGATGCTGATCTGCAACTCATCCTCTGCAAGTTTCCTGGAGAAAAAGGAAATAATTAATCATGAATCGGGGGGCAGAGTAACAACTGATTACCTTAATAGTTAAAAGACATAAAGGAAAAGCTTATTTCATACTAAGGATTGAATGGTTACATAATGCTACGGTCACAAAGGTTCGTACAAACGATAATTTTGTACAAATCTCCCAGTTTTTCCATTGTCTTCCCGAATTTCCATTGTCTGAAAATCGTTTGTAGCACTTCGTAATGGCATTTGTGACCGAGGCTTAAAGGGATTCATTTTTTCTAAAGCTTTTTTTCTGAAATTAGATATTCAAAGCTTTTCCGATCATATGCAACATTTTTAGTTCAGCTAAATTTTAGTACAAGTGTACAACCAATCTAAATCACATTTGATACATACATACATATATATATGGTACACATATTATAGGAGCAATCAATAAGATCCAGTCAGGGAAACATTCTCTCCCCAATTAGCTCCTTTATTAGATTCATGACTTATTAATGGTTTTAAGTCGTCAGATTTAGATTCAGATGTAGAGATTCATAAACATATGTACATGTACATGAGCTGCTCAAACTTACATACCCTAAAATGTATATTGATATGCTCTGTCTGATAATTCAATTGCTTAAAAATGAAGATTTTCAACATTTCCTCTCTTTTTGTTCTTCATGAAACAATAGTGCAATCGGAGCTGAACAAATGAGATTGACTACAAAGTCCTAAATTTGCATATTTATGTTGGGCGAGAATAAAATGAAGGAAATAAACACTACACATCATGACAAATGATGGGAAATACTTTGCTTACTTGTCTCGTTTGATCTTCTTGTCCAGTTTCTTAGATGCCTTCTCTATAGGAAGCATGTCCCCCTCGTCATCGTCGCCTTCATCATCGTCATCATCATCACTGTCATCTGAATCGGCACCACCAAAATCATCATCAAGCTGGAGAGAGGAGAGGGGAACAGAAACAGTTTTTGTTTAAAGTAAAAAATAACAGAGAGAGCACAGAAGAAAGAGAGAGCACAGGAGAAAGAAAGAGATAGAGAGTGAGAGAGAGGGAAAGAGTGAGAGAGAGAGAGAGATAGAGCGAAAGCCCAGTAGAAAACACGAGAGAGAGAGACAGAAGGAAGAACAAAGAACAGAATTATTTAAGAGAATATTTTTTTTTAAATGACTGCAATAGATGGGTGGCCTTTCTTGACAGGTGCTACATGATAGTCAATTCTGTATAAGAAGGCCATTCTGGGGACATAAAGTGTGGGCACTGTAGATCGTTAATGGTCTTTCTAGGCAGAAACTACATCTCAGATTACATTCAAACCTGTCTATTTTTTTTATATTCCCCCTTGCTGAAAACAAACTACCGGTATGTAATTTTTCACTTCGAAAACACTGAAAAGAAAGTTAACATTTCTTGCATTCAATAAATATAAACATTACATCACCCTTTTTTCAGATCTAACGTATGAATGATCCCTGTTTAGACAATATTTCATCTAGAAGTTTGTTACAATAATAATATTCAGTTACATTTGTATATCATTGAATACTATACTTCTAAGCACTTTACTTTGTACTGTACTTTGTATTAAAATTACCCTAGTCATTGGATTCAAATTGCCAATCCACATGGATAAGGTACACACTCCGCTCCCTGGGGAGTAGAGGCCATTTTACAAGCACACTCATCCACATTCACATCCAACCAGGCACCCATTTAACACCTGGGTAGAGAGATGCATGTAATTTGCTTTTAAACAAACTGCGTTTCAACATGTCTTTTGTCTCAGGATGTAAAAGTAAACTTCACTCTCTCAATACCCTTCCATCTTACCAACTCATCATCATCCTCCTCCTCGCTGTCTCCTTCCTCATCATCTCCATCCTCATATTCATCGTCCTCGTCGTCGTCATCCTCGTCGTCTTCATCTGATGACCCCAAGGCAAGTTTGGACTTCCTCGTTGGTGTGAGCCAAGCTTGGTTCTGGTCAGTGAAACCTTTCTTTGCTCCTCCTGTTAACAAAATGTGAGGAAAAATAGCATTTGACAATGCAGTACAGGAGAAACTAGTTAAAGCCAGTCTGTACTAGTTTGGCCAGGAGGGATTAGACCACCCAGCATGGTCACTGACAGGTGGTTATCTCATTAAATCAGATCTCAATTAATATAAGAAAAAGAGGATCATGGGGGACCAACTGGCACAGCTTAGGGCTTGTTTTCTATATAGAGGGCGCAAGTAGCTAAAAGTAGTGCAGTGTTTAAAACAAGGACAATTGGTATGTAAATGAAAATTACGTCAATAGGTAAATGTGTGTGGAGTCAGATTTGGGAAAGGAAGAAAAATGTGAACCTGCCAAGCATGAAATAAGTGCAGAACTGCAAGTATTTCTTTTGCTTTCATCTCTTCTTCTTAATTTCTTTATTTTTTGTTAGTGATTGGCCAATGTACATGATACATTAGATCATTTAAACCCCTCACTTCATTATACAGTATACAAGGGCCTGTCCGGGAGTTGAACCTGGGTTCTTACCAATGAAGCCGTGATTTATAATGTAACTTGTTATATCAGGATTTAAAAAATAGAGAGAGAGAGAGAGAGAGAGAGAGAGAGAGAGCTGGGACCAGCAGAATTACCTTGTTCCATCAGGTATCTTGTTATATCGAAACTTTTAATAACAAACCGGAACAATTTCTCACCTTTCTTGTCGGCCATGCTAAGCTCCATCTCCTCATCATCCTCTTCATCGTCATCTTCCTCATCGTCATCTTCCTCATCGTCATCTTCATCAAAGTCATCATCACTATCTTCCTCCTCTTCTGACTGCTGCTTAGCTTTCTTCAAGTTTTTCTGAGGAGCATTACTTGATTTACTGCTAGTCCTCCCTTTCAGTTGTTTAGAGCTCGTCTTGCTCACTATTTCTTCCTCTTCACTTTCCTCATCGTCCTCGTAGTCATCATCTTCATCATCCTCCTCTTCAACTTGCTGCTTTATCGACTTCTTTCCTTTGGTCCCGGGATTCTTCTCGGACTTCATCTGGAGGTCTTGGTCTTCTTCCACGTCGCTCATGTCATCATCGAAGTCATCTTCGCTGTTAGATTCCTCTATCTCGACCAATGGCGCCCTCTTAGGTCCCTGAGCCAGTCTCTTCAAACCACTCTGTTTATCTGCTTTCTTTGCTGCTCTGTATAACAAAAGTAAAAGCAAGATGCATTCATCGACATCTTTGGCTCTACAACAAAATACAAATGCTTCTGCAAGCAATTGCTTTGTACACACACTAACCAAATCCCTTCCTACAGCCCTGAACCAAACACTTTACAAAACCCTGTGGCCCGAATTCACAAAGAAGGTGTGTCAACAAACGTAGGTTTTTGTGCGTCATATGACACTTTTCGTTGCGTTTCAGACAAACCTTAGTCTGAAACGCGTAAAAACACGTCTTACATGTATGACCCACATAAACCTAGGTTTGTCGACAAACCTCCTTTGTGAATTTGGGCCTATATCTGTAACAATATTAAGAGTATAAAGACACAAGCAATATTCCCAAAGGCAGACATCGGGTCACTAAATCGTACTTATAATAACACCGAACAAGCTGAAAAATAGGAAAAGACAATCAACTATAAATGTTTTTCTTTCACCTTTCCATATCTGAATAATTATTACTGCCCTTACACTCATAACTGAATCATAAATAGTAGATAAGCCAACAGAGTCAAGCAATATACAGTGTAACCGGTCGGGTATAGGCAGGTGGTCTTTATGTACAGGTTCCTTTAATACATGTTTAACCCTATTAAACTGGGCTATTTCAGACCCTGATTCGGGCGGCGCCTGCTCACTTTCACGCACCGTCCAAAGTACGCTCGGTGCTTGGGCGGTCACCGTCCAGGCACCGACCTAATCGAGCATTCGCCGACGAGCGATTTAGGTCAAAAATCGAAGCCGCTAAGTCAAAGGCTGCTGAGCGTTCGTCGCCCGGTTGCTGCTGGGAGATCAGTCAGCCACTGGGCGGCGAGTTCAAAATCGGTCAGCAACCTTTGACCTAGCGGCTTTGATTTTTGACTTAAATCACTCAACGGCGAACGGTTTTTACGGGCATCGCTCTGTCGCTGCTGAAGTTTTAACGCGAAGTTAAAATTTGGGCGGCGCCTGCTCACTTTCACACACCGCCAAAAGTACGCTCGGTGCCTGGGCGGTCGCCGTCCAGGCACCGACCTAATCGAGCATTCGCCGTCGAGCGATTTAGGTCAAAAATCGAAGCCACAAGTCGGCCACTGTGCGGTTTAAAATTGGTCAGCAACCTTTGACCTAGCGGCTTTGATTTTTTACTTAAATCACTCGACGGCGAACGCTCGGACACCGAGCGTATTTTGGCGCCCCGCCGATCACCGGCTGGCTGCCGGGTAATTTCCTTGAAATTAGGCGGTGGCCAATGGGAGACTGCTCGGGTATCGGTGGTTCATCGGTCGGTCACTGCTGGGACGCCGCCCGGAGAATCTCTCCGATTTCGCCCAAATTTTACCTAAAATCGACCGGCGACTGACGGAAAATCGACAGGGCACCGCCTAGGCATCGCTAGGGCTCTACAGCCTGCTCGACTTCTCCAAAAAATTGTTGGGCGATGCCTAAATCTGATTTGTGACCATAGCTTTAGTTCTGATTAATAATAAATAATTACCTTATCCTTGCACGCCTGCTGGATGACTTAGATTGACCTGAAAGCAAAAAAATAACAAACAAGTTGAATTAAAGACAAAATTTACACAAATGAGGAGATTAAAGTAAATTTTTCAATTCAACTAACATCATTCAGATTTAGGATCTGCTACTCTAGTTAAAGATAACAAAATTACTTCTGAAAACAAAAAGGAAACAGGAATAAAAACGGGAATAAAACTAGCTGAATATTTGCTCATTGTTCAACTTGCAAATCAAGAGATACATGTGTCAAACCCAAAGATTCTTCAAAACAAATCAACACACACATCAACATGGTAACTTACATACGACATAAAAATAATATGAAATGAAAATGACATAAATCTGTCTTTTTTAATATACACCCCCTTTCTCTCTCTCGCTCTCTCAAGTTACACTTTTCTGCCTCTCACTTAAAACAGGAAAAATGATGAGACAACAACAATGACAAGTATTTCACAAGTTAATATTTTAATCAAAATAAAATGTAAAATATACTGCTACAACGAAGGCAAATCCTTTTAATACAAAACAGGCTATTTGTCTACCAGGCTAGCACAGTCTTCCAACTCTCAAAGAAAATAATGATGGTAAAATTGTGGAATTAGACTAACTAAACTCCAAGGTCTCCGAGTTTGTTGGTGAGTTAGTTGCAACTAATACCAACGTGATATAGATGGCCAGGGCAAGTTAGTCTAATTCAAGGGTCTAATCAATTAGAATTTCTAATCAGAGAGGGAAAAACTCCTTCGATCTAGTAGCTGGGCTACTTAAACGTATCATAAACGCATTTAACACATACAAAATACAGCATACGATAGTGTATTATCTTCTATAGAACATTTCCATGTTTTACAATAAATCTTCATGATGTGTTTGCTCGTTCAATCATGTTGTCTGTTTTAAAAGGATTTGCATACACTGGAAAGAGGTAAGAACACTGGACTAAACAAAGCATATAAAACACTAAAGCATATAAATGTTAATTCTAATTCATTAGCATGGACAAAAACATTCAAAATAGAAAAGAAACTTTGCCTCAACATTTACATTGTATTAAAGGTACTGATTAACTTATGAAAATGTATGTTAAAAATCAGTATAAAAGGTGATGTGAAACAAGTTTAAATGGGGTAGCACAAAACAAAAGTCACTGTAGGCAGCATTTCACAAAACCCCTTTTTTAGAAGGACAAGTTTACCGACAACTCATTAAAATGTGTGTACTACATTAAACACAAGTTTCAATGAGATATCTGTGAATTTGTACTTATGACAGTTTCATGAAGCAGTGCCGTTGTATAAACTAAAACTCTTTTCAAGAACAACAATAAATAGATGTTCTAGAATCTACATGGTAAGTCCAAGGTATTTACTTATTTGTGTCCCATAAGTATAATAGAACAATGATTATAATTGGGATATAAAAAATAGATATATACACTGTATATTTGTTTTCCTTGATTCACGCAACACATGCGTATATAAACAAATATAATAGGACCATCAGATTTCTTCATGCTAATATCCATGTATCTATTCTTTGATTTACTTGGTAACACATAAAGCCCAATTACCTTGGATCTACTCAATAACAAGAAGGTAATTCATCAAACATGGAATCACAAAGCAAAAATTTCACTTGTATGTATGTATCTTTTCTAGCTTACTTTCAAACAACACCCTGTGCACCTCATCATTGAGGATGTGCATGTATAGAGGGAGCCCTGTACATTCACTGAGGTGCAGGCCATCTTTGGCCCACAAGACAGTGGACTCTTCTGGGTAGTACGAGGTCAAGTCAATCCAGGAGACTCCTTCCTCATCACAGACCGTGGCAAACCCACCGTTGTAGAGATCAACGTAGCCTCCGAAGGAGTCTAGACGAGGGAGAATGCTGGTTGCAATCAGCTTTGGAGGAAAAGAGTCAGGAACATGTATTAGATTGCAATGAACGATCAGATTTGATGGGGAAGTGTGTGGGAATGCATTAAAAGTGGTAAGTGACCCTAATATCTCAGTGACATCAACAAGACAGATGCCAAACTGACTACAGGCTGCATAGAGAATTACACTACCTCCTATGGCCAAATGTTGATGTGGAATTCATGAAAAGTCTAAAATATTTGAATTTTTGCTTTTGAATACATTTTATTTTAAGGCTACAAATGGCTCTCCATAATGTTTTAAGTCCAACTTAGAGTTAAGTTTGACTTAGGCTCTTTGTGAAACGACCCCCAGTATTACTTTCAATACCTCACCTCTGCACCAGGGAACTTCTCCCCTGCGGATCGGATCAGACTTCTGAACGTCTCACTATCTCCATACAGCGCCTTCTCTAGGTGACCCATGTGTGTCTTGTTATGAAGATTGTTTGTCCCTGTGGCCAACACAACTACATCCGGGTCATGCTCAGGACTAAACGACAGGAGTTCCTGCTGAACATGCTGACAGGTTCCGCCTGGTGTGCAGTTGATGCCAAACTGAAGATGACCCTCCACATGTAGTGATTCTCCTTGAACGATGGGTCTGAGTTGGGAATCACTGTATATCCACACCATCTTCAAATTGAAAATATATTATTAATATTAATAATACAAAAATAAGATTTGTAGGGTGTCTATCCACTGGAAACTAAATGCTCAAGATGCACTAGTGAAAAAGATGAAATATAAACAAAAGTACTATTTGAGTATTATACAAGATATGAAAGAGAAAGAAAAATACAAAAGTACAGTTAATTATAAGCCAAACCAAACAGATGCTTAATAATAGCAGTAATAATAATATTCCATATTTATAGAGCATATACATGTAATTGATAACCCGCATTTATTTGTCCTTCCAAAAGTTTTCGGAACTACCTGTACTACCCTAACTGAAGCACTGTTGACAGCTATCAGCACCCAGTCCATTCAAATTATGAATTATTATCAGTTTCCCAATTATTACAGCTATGTCACACATGTGTTGCAAATATCTACACATAGACCATTAGTATATTAATAATAATTTTTAGTGAACCATAATTTACACCATGGAGTATTAAATCTATTAAAGGGATACTTCAAAATTTCTTTCATAAAAATAGTAAGTTTTCTCACCATTCCAAAATGTGATTATAAATTCAAATTTGTGTAACTGCTATGAAAAGAAAATCAATGTAAGCAACAACTAAAGGTACTCTTTTAAACATCTACACAAAAGGTTTTAAAAAACTGTGTAAAAACACACATTTCTAGTCATCTACTCACAAGTTTATTTTGGTTGTAATCCTGTTGCCACGCCTTGTTCTGTTTGAAACTGACACCTCTCGGCCAGAAGTGAGCTCTCCCTCTCCGTCCTGTTCCTCTACGTCTGGTTCCTCTCAACTCTTCTTTGACATTCTTTAGTGTACTACTTATATGGTTCTCTATCTCTTCTTCTTTTGGGGCAATTACTTCCAATAATAATAACTGTTTCTTATAAAGTGCTTCATCGGTTATAACCGACAAAAGCGATTACAGTATTATTATCACCCTTGTCGCTGGATTCAATTTCTATTTAACACATTTCAGTTCACATTCTCTACTCCCTGGGGAGCATTCAAGCTAGTCCCATTTTCCAGGGACATGGACACGCTAATCCAAACACACATACAATATAAAAATCAACAAACATTTCAGTACAACTTCCAATTTTCTACCTTAAAGATGACAAAAAATGCCCGTAAACAGTGTACTGTATATCGCCCATGACTATGTTATCAACTAATAACCACTGTTTTTGACTGAAAAATAGTGTTTATTGAGAAAAACTACGTTTATCACTCAATAAACAGTGTTTATTTGGATTAACTCTGTTTATCGGCGACAAATAGTGTTTATCAAAATAAACCGTGTTTATCAAGTGATAAAAAGTTTTTCCCAATAAACCCTGTCTATCAGTCAATAAAAATAGTTAGTTCGGCCACTTAAGACAAAATCCTATTTTTTGGACCCTTTACTTCCTATTTATTATCATTTTTTGTTCAAATCATGAAGCAAATATTATTATTATTTAAACAAAACAAGAATCCCAGAAAAAAATCACGAATTGCCATGACAATATTCATTTCAATTTTCACTGTTTCGGAGTCAGTTTTCGGCATAGCGTACCAGTTTTCGGCCGCATGTACAAAGTCAATAGGAAGCGCGCGCACGCACCGTGCGTTTCCGCGCTGATCTATAGCACTAGCGGGCGGAGCAGGTATCCCACGCCGTAGCTCCCCAGAGCTTGCCAGGCCGAAAACTAGTACTGCGGTGATCGGATATTGGAATCTGAATTAGACAGAGATATCGCCTGTGCGTTGCGGTGTGCGGCTGCATTGATTTAATACATGCGATGAGATACTTTTGAGCTTGCGACTAGCACAAAATCGGGCTCTAAATCTGAAAAATACTTGAAATAAAGCTCATTTTATGGTACCCATATTTCTTACAGACACGCGTAAGATACTCGATTTTTCAGATTTGGGTAGCGGGACCGCCGATTACATCGCTAAAATGTGATATTTTAGGATATATTTTTCATTGCAAATGTGGTTCTTCAGTGACACTGGCATGGTATGGTATGTGTGGGATATGTGTTATGCTATTATGCGATGTATTTTAGAGGGATTTTACCTTGCATCGGCCAATCGGCCGAAAACTGGAGCTGGCCGATTACCGGCTCCTTTACTCTATTATTATTAGAACAAAAAAATAATCCCAGAAAAAAATCACAAATTGCCATGACAATATTCATTTCAATTTTCACTGTTTCGGAGTCAGTTATCGGCATAGCGAACCAGTTTTCGGTCGCATGTACAAAGTCAATAGGAAGACGCCGTGCGTTTCCGCGCTGATCTATAGCACTGAATTAGACAGAGATATCGTGTGTGCATTGCGGTGTCCGGCCCGGCTGCATTAATTTAATACATGCGATGAGATACTTTTGAGCTTGCAACTCACACAAAATCGGGCTCTAAATCTGAAAAATACTTGAAATAAAACTCATTAAATGGTACCCATATTTCTTACAAACATGCGTAAGATACTCAACTTTTCAGATTCGGGTAGCGGGACCGTCGATTACATCGTTAAAATGTGATTTTTGTTTTGTTTTTAAGGATATATTTTCCATTGCAAATGTGGTTCTTCAGTGACTCTGGCATGGTATTATATGTGTGGGATATATGATGTGCTATTATTAGGGTGTCTGAACGATTTTTCAATTTTCAATTTGGGATCGTTTTTCACCATTTTTGTTTGATATTTGAATAAAAAATGTTATCAGAATAATACATTTCAAATTTCAAGTCTCACCGATGTTTCTATCAAAAGTTACAGCCCCTCCAACACGCTGGTATATTCATATCATTTTGGTCAAAATCGACGAAAAAGACGTCCACGCAGAGTGATGTTGTTTTGCTAAATTTAGCCAAACAGCTGTATCGCGCGATATGCAAGCGTATGCATATCGTACGCATGCTGCTAAGCCAATCCGCGACTTGCAGCTTGAGCTACGCTGTCTCCGCGACATGTGCGATTGACTAGTATGGTTGGCGTTCGTCGCACAATAAACCCGGAAGTGAATGCACGTTATAGTCAATGGCAATATCGCGGAGACAACGCACGTTGTCTCCGCGATATTGCCATTGACTATAACGTGTATTCACTTCCGGGTTTATCGAGGGAATTGCCAACCATAATTTCAGTCACTATAATGTGTAATTGAATTTGGGGTTTCGTTCGTGCGCGGAGATGTTACGCGATGTAACCATGGTTTGGACTGAGCGGAGCGCACGCCTCCTAATTAGCTGATCCACCAAATAGCGAGAAGGGTATTTTTAAACTGTTATCAGTTGTGATCCCTGGGGGCTAGCGAAAATATAATCACATAGAATTGTTCCTTAGGACTGGGACTACTTATCGATCGGGGCGTCATATCTCAAAAGTGACAAACCTCAGAGTTAGCCAGGACACAATGTTTAAATTGCTGTTTTGACCAAGATATTTTTAGAATTTCGGGGGCTACGCCCCTTTGGAAATATTGGAATTCACCTGCTCTTTCATATGACACCTCATTCATTGATTATCACCTTCAGGATCACAACTGATAAAGGTTTGAATCTCGATTTGAAAAAAAAAAATTGACTTTTTTTGCATGGTCGCGCAATGCACGTAGGCTGCATAGGGATGCGTGTAATCTCTATGGGAAGAATTTTAGCACACAACATCGGGTGCGCGATCAGACACCCTACTATTATGCGATGTATTTTAAAGGGATTTTACCATGCATCCAATGGACCGGCCGAAAGCTGGTGATGATCGATTACCCCCTCCTTTACTCGAGACTAGACCTCTATTTCCTAAATTGTTTCATCGCAGATCGCATTCATCTCATTCAACATGTTCAATCAAACTTAAATGTAAGAACTTTCCCATAATAGATTAAATCGTTATCCTCATAGTTATAGATCTTACAGTTACTGCGCATACCAAAATATAACATGTACATTTTTGGACTGACTGCATGCACAGTTTCACTTTGACAACCCCAACATACGGCCCAACAGAAATTTAGGTAGATGGGACTGTAGAAAAGTATTTACCCGCTTCAGATGATTTCGTCAAATGGCGTGGCAAAGAGGGTTCCTCCTGTTTACGGGCTTTACGACCGGGTCCTCTATTTTTGCCCAGCTCCGATCTGTCCTTTTTCCTACCCATTTTGAAATACAGCTAAATTAACCAACTTGTCGACTGTGGAGACTCGAAGTCTAGGCGAAGCAAAGGAACAGTAAATTTTTGTGCACGTGCGCACGTTTTAATATATATACTGTGTCGTGAAGTAAGCAAATGGAAAAGGAAAAAAAATCAAAGTAAGTACACACACAGGCATTATGGGGGTCGTTTCTCGGAACTACAAGATCAACAGGGCAGCGTCTCATGAGACCGTCATAAGTACAAGTTCACCGACATCCCATTGAAACGTGTGTTAAACTTAATACACGCATTTCAATGGGATGTCGTTGGACTTGTACTTATGACGGTCTCATGAAACGCTGCCCGGATCTACACTGTCGCTCAATTTGTCCGCTAAGTGTCTAACAACCGCCTTTGCCAAGATGAGCGACAACTTCCGCGACAATCCCTGCCAAAACCTGCCATATCTATTTAAAACGCCAGCTCAAGGCAACTTTAATCTCTGCATCTCTGTCTGTGTGTGTGTGCGTGTGCGTGTGCGTGTGTGGGTGTATGTGTTTGAGTGTGTGCGCAGTGTGCGTGTTGGTATAGTAAAACAAATCAACTGAAACAGTCGTAGTTTCATGCTTGTAGAATTCAACAGCAAATAAACCCATCTTATAACTCTATTACACTGTAACACACACAAACACCCCACCCACACACACATATACCCGTATTGATATGAATGATAATACAGTGAATATAACTTCGCGTAGCCAAGGGGGGCGGTGGGGGCGGTCGCCCCCCCCCCCCCCCCCCAAAAAAAAAAAAAAAAAAAAAAAAAAAAAAAAAACGCCGGCCAAAAAAAAAGAGAGATCGAGAGAGAAAGAGGAGGAAAAAAAGAGGACGTAGGAAGAAAAAGGGAAAAGGAGTCGAGAACGGTACAACGAATCATCAAAGCTTCCGCGCTTCGCGCGTGAAGGGGGAACTGAGTTCAAATTTAGGATAAAGGGTCGGGAAAGGTACAACGAATCGTCCTCTTTCTCTAATAATTTAATGAAACGTCAAAACTTCGCACGAGAGGGGGGGGGGGGGACAGAATTCAGACAATGATTAAGAGTCGATAAAGATACAACGAATCGTCTTCTTTCTCTAATAATTTAGTGAAACGTCAAAGCTTCGCGTGAGAGGGGGGAGGGACTGAATTAAGACAAGGATTATGAGTCGAGAAAGGTACAACGAATCGTCTCTTTTCTCTAATATTTTGATGAAACGTCAAAGCTTCGCGCGAGAGGGGGGAGGTACTGAATTCAGACAAGGATTATGAGTCGAGAAAGGTTCAACGAATCGTCTTCTTTCTCTAATAATTTAATGAAACGTCAAAACTTCGCACGAGAGAGGGGGGGGGGGAACAGAATTCAGACAATGATTAAGAGTCGAGAAAGGTTCAACGAATCGTCTTCTTTCTCTAATAATTTAATGAAACGTCAAAGCTTCGCGTGAGAGGGGGGAGGGACTGAATTCAGACAAGGATTATGAGTCGAGAAAGGTACAACGAATCGTCTTCTTTCAAAGCTCCCCCCTCCCTGCACCCACCCCCCCCCCCTAGAGAGCGCGCTTCGCACGCTTCGCGTGCTCACTACCGCCCCCCCCTAAAATGAAATCCTGGCTACGCGCTTGCTCATACAAAGAACATTTTGTTTAGGAAAATCACACTCATTTGCCAAAGAATATATTTTTATCCACTGTATATGATGTCATACAAATAAAACTGTCTCTTGGAAATGTAGTGTAACCATATTCAATGCAATTAAAATGACTTAATTATGACAGCAAACATAAAGAAGTGATTGCGATATTAAAAATCTTGATCTAGAAGAAAGTAATGGTATATAAATGTTTTTATTTCAGATCTTGTGTACCTGTATAAACATGTATGAATAAATAAATAAATAAATGAAAATGTATGAATTGTGTTTGTAATTAAGGAATATAATTAAACAAATTGTTTGTGCAACTTTTACATTTGCTGTTACATTTTTTTGCATTAGAAAGCAGTTAAAAGTAAATGAGTAGCTAGCTTGCGTATGAAACGGGGGTCACTTTTTGACAATGTAAACTCTTCTGTTTAGTGAACGTAAGGGGTTTGTTGAATGAACACGCCTTTAAAAACTGTACTTGTGTTTTCGTTTCATTTCACAGTTCATTGTACTTCTTGCGTGCTCTTGGTACCAAGCTGGCTTCTTGAAAGGCGTTTTTCGGACTCTAAAGCTTAAAGGTAATGCAAAATTTTGGGAAATTTTGAAAATTAGGGGGGTAGGGATTCTTTACAATTTTGATATATTTGGATGCCCCTATGGATGTATTATAAGCACTAGAAAATTTAGCTCCTAAAACACTTCTGCTTTCGAGAAAAATTAAATATTAAAATTTACCGGTGCTCCCGGTAAATTTTGATAAATTTCAAATAGCGCCTACAGCCGTACAATAGTAGCTGCGACCATGAAAATCTCAAAATATGTAGATATGATATATAATTTCCAAACGGGAATAGCTAATCGGTCAATTTTCGTCGAGAAACATTGTTTTATAGCTTAATTAATATCTTGACCTTGAGAGGGAGCTATACAACATAAAGAGTTTATTATTTACAATTTCATAACTTTAGGCTCGGGTTGAACCGCGACAACGATCACTGCATATTATAGGACCACTTATGCTTCCAACATGTTCATTTGAACCAAATTCATGACCCCATACCAAAACTTTGTTTTACCTTTAAAAGAACAGCATGCATGCATTGATAAGCTCTTGTAATGATGCCGTTGTTGTGATTTTTTTTTTTTACCCTTCCCGTTTTCTCAAATAAATCACATTGTGGCATCTCGACATGAAACCATAGTTTCCATCTTCAGTCGACTACCTCTTTCCTTCCCAAAGTCATTGTTATGTATTCGCTAATGACACCAATGACCCTGTTATTTGTAAAGGGCCTAAACGCGAGGACCACATACTGATTGATTATTCACTCAAGTTCAATTTATTTTCCACAAATGCAAAACATAGGGAGCTACATAAAATGAAATACATATTACATACAATACAATAATAGAACATGTGCATTATATATAAAAACGACTCCAGTTGGAGCAATGTATGTTTTAAAAAGAAAAAAAAAATGCAAATGTGGAAGGGGTAGTCAAAAATCAAAAATGATTTGTCGAGGACTTCCCCCAATAATAAAAATAAAAAATTATACGATTCAAACTTAAAAGTAAATATAAGGTAAAATTATGAGGTGGTACAATAACGAGAAAGAAGAGAGAGAAAAATATAAAAGACAAGGGGGGGGGGTGCTCAAGTAAAATAATACCTTATGAGACAACAAATAATGCAGAGTTGCAATTAATTGTTTTGTAAGGAAGTGTAGGAGAAGGCGTGATAAAAATTACACCTAATCAGGGGCAGCTCTATATATACCAAAATAAGTTGAACCCGTAACAGGGGAAGAATTGATATGAAAAGTATAATACAATCGAACAAATTTTCTTTTGAATAATTTTAATTCAGAGAGAAAAGAATTGTTAAGGTTACTTCATGTTTTACAAGTTAAAAGGTCTACTGCAAGTCACACGGTACAATATTGCATATCTCAAACTTTTTTTTATAAAAGAAAAGAATTTATCATTATTATGATGATAATAATATGATAATTAGATATCAATATGTTAATGATGCGACTACCATTACTTTAACTATTATACTATTACTACTACTACTACTACCTCTACTACTACTACTACTACTACTACTACTACTACTACTACTACTACTGCTGCTGCTGCTGCTGCTGCTGCTGCTGCTACTACTACTACTACTACTTCTACTACCTCTACTACTACTACTACTACTACTACTACTACTACTGCTACTACTACTACTACTACTACTACTACTACTACTACTAATACTGCTGCTGCTGCTGCTACTATTATTACTACTACTACTTCTACTACTACTACTACTACTACTACTACTACTACTACTACTACTACTGCTGCTGCTTCTACTACAACAACAGAATGCAAAATCTACTACTACTACTACCACTCCTGATACGTCTACTACTTCTACTACTAATTATAGTTTCAACAGCCTTCTGTTGAACAAAAATGTCTTCAGAACTGTGGCCTCTATTGTAATTTCGACCTCCCTTCTCCCCCTCTCTCTCCTACTTGTTCTCTCGTTCTTGCATTCTTCTTCTTTTATCTCTCTCTCTCTCTCTCTCTCTCACTCTCTCTCTCTCCCTCTCTCTCCCCCTCTCTCTCTATCTCTCTTTCTCTCTCTCTCTCTCTCTCTCTCTCTCTCTCTCTCTCCCTGTTGGTAACTTTATCTCCCCTGCCACACCGCCATCCCTCTCTCTTTCCCCTTTCTCCCTCCTCTCTCGCCGCCTCTCTCCATGCATTTCTCTCCCTCTCTCTCTCCCTCTCTCTCTCTCTCTCTCACGCACACACACACACACACACACACACACACACACACACACACTCCCTCCCTCTTTCTTTCTCTCTCTCTATTTTCACTCCCAACGTATTTGCACACATACCAAAACACACATACCAAAACACTCACACGCGCGCACACTTAACATATAATTTCCCATTTATGACATTATCTTGCATTATTTTCATTTTTTTTTTAAACCCGGTAGTTGGATTATATATTATTATAATAATTATTAGAACGATATCAAAGATATCTACATTGTATAGCATGAAAATGAATCATAGCAATCAAATGTCAAGACGACAAAATCGAAAAACTCCTTCGTTGTTTCTTTCCCGGCTCACTACTTTGATGGCGCTGTTGGAAATCAGTACTGCTCAGCTTTAAACGTATTGCAATTAAATCAGTTGTAGAGTAGAAGTATGATATTCTTGAAATTGGATAATGGTTGTTACCAGGGGCGTAGACAACGGGGGGGGGGGGGGGTGAGGGGGATGCATCCCCCCCCCCCCACCTCACAAGGTGGGGGGATGGCATGTACAATCATCCCCCCCCCCCCCCCGGGTTTTGGGGAATGATATTTGCTTACTTAATAAGTCATAATGATGATAATAATAGTAATAATAATAATGATAACAATTATAATATTAATAATAATAATAATTATGATGATGATAATAATAATCCTCATCATTATTGTAATTGTGTTTATTGTTATTAGCCGCATTCACACGGTGAAAGCCAATTCAGACGGTAAAAAAAAGAAAATCTTACAAGTATTTTGTGGTTATCTCGTGGTTTGGAAACCACAAGATAACCACAAGATTAAACAGGCGCGGATCTACGGGGGGGGGGGGGGGGGGTTAGGGGGATGCATCCCCCCCCCCACCTCACAAGGTGGGGGGATGGCATGTACAATCATCCCCCCCCCCGGGTTTTGGGGAATGATATTTGCTTACTTAATAAGTCATAATGATGATAATAATAGTAATAATAATAATGATAACAATTATAATATTAATAATAATAATAATTATGATGATGATAATAATAATCCTCATCATTATTGTAATTGTGTTTATTGTTATTAGCCGCATTCACACGGTGAAAGCCAATTCAGACGGTAAAAAAAAGAAAATCTTACAAGTATTTTGTGGTTATCTCGTGGTTTGGAAACCACAAGATAACCACAAGATTAAACAGGCGCGGATCTACGGGGGGGGGGGGGGTTAGGGGGTTTAACCCCCCCCCCCTTGGGCGGCCCAAAAAACAAAAACAAAAAAAAGGGGGGAAAAAAAAGAAGAAAAAAAAGAAAAAAAGAAAGAAAAAAGAACGCACGCTGGAGAGAAACCCTTTCAAGTGCAAATATTGTGAGAAGATATTCAACTCATCTGGTAACTTAACCAAACACATGATAACTCTGGATATAACTGTGTATTTAACTGTTACTTGATTTAAAAAGACGTTATCATGCACTGCTTTTTATGGTCTCCATTGTGTTATAGATGCCAGGAAAACATCACTTACGGGGTTCAAATAAACACCCCAAAAAAAATCGGTTCGCCGCTTCGCGGCTCGTGGACGATGCTCCGCATCGTCATTGTTTTGGTCAACCCCCCCTCCCTTAGCAAAAAGCTAGATCCGCCCCTGAGTCATCCCCCCCCAGGTGTACGAACCTGTCTACGCCACTGGTTGTTACATTATAAGTTTGCAGGGATTGGAGGGCTCAGTCCCACCCCAATGCATTTATTAAAGTTCTCCTCCCCCTAAATAAAACATTTATTATAAATGAATTTAAGCAAGGCACATGTAGCATATGAGTGTGAAGTCTTTCATTTATGGCTTTTCTTTAAAAAAAAGAGATTATTTTAATTCCTAGCTCATTTTTCCTGATTGAGGTGTCATATGAAAGGGCAGAAAATGAACTTTCTAGACATATGATTTTTTGTTTTTCCTTTGAAATTCAGATACCGTCCGCCAAATGACTTTTTGATACCCTTTCCTCAAGCGTGCAATATGCATCATATGAGTTGCATCAAACGAAAGAGGAGAATTTAAGCTTTACCAATATGCGTCATTTATTAATTGAGATTAAGTTATGACTAAACTTCGATAATCCTCGGTTTCGTTTTTTCTGGGACGCACTGTGCCTGAACATTTGGATAAATGCAAACAGAGTTAAGGCAAAAATCATTTTATGCATTTATGTATTCTTCATACTTGGCTTGGCTTGAAGTTCTAATGAATAGAATCATAACAATGCGGATGAACAAACAGATAAAAGGAAACACAGTATATCATTTAAAAGTAAGTTTTTGTAATAATAAAACTGATAGTTAGGCTATATCAAATATTTACAAAAAGTACAATCTATAGCGCTGACAAAATTATAGAATGTGAAAATTGAAGAGAAATGCTTTTTTTGTTAGGGGATAACTTTAAACTTCAACTAAATTTGTATACGTTCAAATGTATTAAACATAACATGAAGATTTAAGTCTATTTTTCACCGGCATATGAAATACAGGATAATGGATATTGATACTTTGTTGATAAAAAGATTCTAATCTAATCACGTGCGTCAAAGGACTTCTCATAGCATTTTACAAAGATAAAGAGATAGCTAGAGAACTATTTTACCTAAAACCAACAAAAGCTTTCGAAGCTCAAAATGATAACGAATATCGAACGAAAGGGCTTAAGATTGAATTGAATTGCCCAAACTTAATCATGCACTTTTGTCTATTATTTCAGTTATAACAGACGGTACACTAAAGCCAAACAATGCCATGTCCGTCATTACTCCCTCATCCGCCATTAACTGTCGTAACAAATCAACGGGAATATTGGAGTAAAATCGGCGTAACGACGTGTCTTCAGAACTATTCGTTTTCCTCTGTTGGTAAGGGAGGTTGATATGAGAACCATTGTTAATTGTGCTGATGAGATAGGTCGAGTCTTCTTGGAGTCGATCAAAGATTCCGATGAAGTCGTAGTGCACGTGACACGGTAGACACAATTTATGAATTTCCCTCCAGTGTTCATTTTTGTCAGACGATGAGAGGTAAAAACGAACAAAATTAGTGAAAGTGAAGTTCGTCGACGAAGAGTTGTAAAATTGTGCTTCTCGTGGATCTGTAGCGGTAAGCCACTCGTAAAGCAGCGTACGCCAAGAATCGTTTCCATCTATCGTGATCTTGTTGCGATAAGCTGATAAGAGCCTAGTGAAGGGGTTCCGAACAAACATGAAACTCTTGTATTCAGACAGGATTTCCCGCGCTTTGTCGACGCCAAAGTGAGAAAGAGGCGGGAAAACTGCGTTGGCCTTGTCGTGTGCGCTGTGTGTGAACGCATGTCCACTCATGAACAGGAGGAGGGTCTTCCAGCTTGTGCACCCTACCTTCGGGACATAGCAGTAGAGGAGTTTGAGTTCTGGTATAACGAGGACGTGACGTAATGACCCAAGATGATCAGAGCTGAGGGCGCTGTCATAGTTCGAGCCATACCCCTTGGTCTTGCAAACATCTCGTAGCCTTTGGTGTCGCTCAAGTTGTATTGCTTTCATATTTTTTGTGTACCAGTCATCATTCGTTCTAACCTGTATGAGATGAACAAACCCGTATCAAAACAACTCCTCTCATTTGCTAATTCGAAAATTGCTCAGAGCAGTTATTTTGTCAAAAGTATAGAGTTTCGGGTAAGGGCTGTAAGTTGGTTTGGAATTGGGTTTAGGGAAAGGGTTAGGAATAGTGTTGGGCCTAGGGCTGAAGTTAAAGGGATTGGGTAACTCTGTCTCAGATTCTGAATCAAAATCCTGGATTTAGCTCATGCTGCAATGATAATCATACACCTTTAGGTCAGTCAGGAACCCCATGACTTTTACAAGCCGATCGCCTGTCTGATTATCAAGATATTTATGATTGGAAATCGAAATCAAATTTTGCGTTTTTCTAACGGTTTTCCTAACACTATTGGGGAAAACGAGTATGGTAAACACCGGTCAATCAAAGATTTTTACTATTTTGAGGCACTTTTGGATCATTTTGAAGCGTGATTTTTTTTAGGGCCTCAATATTACACCATATCACAGACACTGACAACACGTAGGGCCGTGTATGTCAGATTTAACATTGTTAAACGATGCCTTAAAGAATTTGGTTATCGTAGCGAATCAGTGCGGAGTGACCGTCGCAGGAACTTGTCGTACAACCCTCAGAATGTAAACCCTTTTATAAGTAACCCGACACACTTCCCGAGCAAAATGAAATGACGTAAATTGGTTTAAAAACTGAAGTGGTTATGCAAATGTTGTGGGTTCAAGTCCAGATATGTACATCACTAATGTAGTTCGGCTGGGAATTGCTACACAGTTGGCAATCTTGATCCACTTATGAAATTATCCTCTGGTAGGGTGGAATTATACGTGAAGGTTAATAGCAGGGGGTATTATTTTTCGCGTATTTGGAGTAGTTTTCCCAAGGGGCGAGTTATCGGTATATGGTATTGTCTGGGCGTAACTGTCCTGGAATCTGACACAGAATCTATATTGAACAAATAGCCGTCATGTACTTTGAAATGGTTTTCCAGTTCACCCTTATAGTAAATAGAAAAAATTATGGACTGGGCGTAACTGTCCTAGAATCGGACACAGCCTCTATGACAGTGGCGTACTGAGCAAAAACGTTTGGGGGGGGGGGGGAGAGGCTGACAAAAAAGAAGCCACCGATTACCAACAAAACTAGCCACCAATTAATAACCGACAAATGTATTAATGCCAATGTCCAAATGTCTACAAATTTAACCCTATAAACCCGGGGCCAGGAACTAAGGTATTTTTCAGTTTTCCACCTTCCGCGCGAAGCGCAGAAGCTTCGACACTTCATTGAATTATTAGAGAAAGAAGACGATCCGTTGTAACGTTCTCGACTCTTAATTCTTGTTTCGCCCCTCCCGCGCGAAGCACAGAAGATATGACATTTCATTTAATCATTAGGGAAAAGAGACGATTCATTGTAACGTTCTCGAATTTTAATCCTTGTCTGAATTCAGTTCTCCCCCCCCCCTCTAGCGCGAAGCGCAGAAACTTTGACGTTTCATTAAATTATTACTCTTAATCCTTGTCTGAATTCATTTTCGCCCACCCCTTTCACGTTTCAATAAATTATTAGAGAAAGAAGACGATTCGTTGTATCGAGTCCTTGTCTGAATTCGGTTTTCCCCCTCCCGCGTGAAGCGCGGAAGCTTTAACGTTTCATTTAATTATTACTCTAATCCTTGTCTGAAATCATTTTCGCCCATCCCGCGCGAAGCGCAGAAGCTTTGACGTCTCATTAAATTATTACTCTTAGCACTTATCTGACTCTCTTTCACCCACCCCGCCCGGGCGGGGCACAGCCCGAGTGGTTGGTAATGCTTGTCGCAGTGGCTTCTGGAAAGGAATTTTCTACTAGTGTTACTGTTAGTGGCCCATTAGTGACTATAAAAAACATATGCTCTTCCTGGTTATTTGAGAATGTATCAGTTTGCAACAAAAATGGAGAAACGCGCATTTTGTTGAAAATCATGTGATATCACGAACATTTATAAATCACTTGTATAGAATTTTGAAAAAAAGTCAAGGTTGAATTTCATTTTGGAGGGGGGGGGGGTGGCGCCCCCAAGCCCCCCCCCCACCAGTACGCCAGTGATCTATGGTGAACAAAACCCCGTTATATACTTTGAAATGGTTTTCCAGATCACCCTTAGTGAGCAGAATTATGTACTTGTCTTTCACAGGCAATAAAGTAATAATAACCTTTAAAACATGCATTGAAAAATTAATCTTATTATTTCGAAACTTCATAAGTTTCAATATATTTCACGTCAATTGAAAGGCAGCAATAATTACTTACGGGCCTTTGCTCTGAGACTTTATGCATGCGACGTATTGATTTGATAACTGCAAGAAAAGAAGAAAAATACAGGTAAATTCCAATTGATCAGTTTATAACGCACAAGGTTTTATACTACCACGAGACCGCAGGCAATCAACACCCCGCTGATATATCTGCCAACGTTTCCAACACCACCGCCACCATCATGACCACCACCATCACAACAACTATTACTACTACTACTACTACTACTACTACTACTACTACTACTACTACTACTACTACTAATACTACTACTACTACTACTACTACTACTACTACTACTTCTACTTCTACTACTACTACTACTCTACTACTACTACTACTACTACTACTACTTCTACTACTACTACTACTACTACTACTACTACTACTTACTACTACTACTACTACTACTACTACTACTACTACTACTACTACTACTAGTACTACTACCACCACTACTACTACTACTACCACCACTACTACTACTACTACTACTCCTCTACTACTACTACTACTACTACTACTTCTACTACTACTACTACTACTACTACTACTACTACTACTACTACTACTACTACTTACTTCTACTACTACTACTACTACTACTACTACTACTACTACTATTACTTATTCTACTACTACTACTACTAAATCTACACTTCCGCTTCTACTACTACTACTACTACTACTTCTACTACTACTACTACTACAATTACTTCTTCTGTTTTCATCACATGAGTAAGGATTCCAAACAGCTTTATTTTTAAAACTCTGTGCGGTTGTATCTAATTCGACAAAGTTACTCTGGAAACCCTTAATACCATGCCCCGACCTGCCGACCATACGAACAAAAATCACCCTTTTCTTCAATAACTTCTTTTCATTGTGTTTGTTTTTTATCTTGTATTTTTACTTGTAGTTTTATTTAATGAAACTTATGCGATGTTAGAATCGACATATTATTACTGTGTCTATATGAATAGTACAACATTCGCATTCAATTGTAATCATATTACAAAAAGAAAACTTACCCTTAGAATATATCATAAGATTCGGCATTATACTTGCCAAGAGACCAGCAACAGTGCACAGTAGAAGAAGGAACGTCAAGAATTTCACCTTCATTTTAAAGCAATCCTTATCATTTTTGTGATAACTAGCTAGAAATAGCATAACGCTATAAATCAAGAAGCGCTTCCCTAATACATCAATCAGAATATTCGGGGCATGTATGCACAGGTTGTGATTCTCCATTTGTTTTCATTATTGATTCTCAAATATTTGTACATCATCCATTTCCACTTGTTCCAATGTCAACGTTAAAACGGTCATCATATTATACAAATGATTTTGATTTCTGTATTATTTTGTTTTTCTTTTCACTTAAGTCTTTGCAGGCGGTGACAAAGAGATCATGGGAAATAACATTTTCATTCATGTCGCGCGTTTTATGATATGTGAATAATTTCAACGCCGTTTAAAATGTAATTACTTCACAATGTTATATTTCATTTGTAACTGCCCAATATAACATTTGGATCAGGGAATAAGCTCCGTACCATGAAATAGTGTATAAGTATTTTCTGATTACATCTTACACCTCATTGTTTCAAGTGATATCAGTCATTAACACTTTCAATATTTTCATTCACATATTCAACGGCATTCCCTTTTTTTTGTTAGGGTCCCAAGCAAGTGCTCTCAAACCATTAATTATCATATGCAAAATGGTGAATGTAATTGAAGCAAGGGCAATACAGGGAAGACCAGTGGCGTACGCAGGATTTTTTTCAAGGGGGGGGGGGGGGGGTTAAAATCAAAAGGGGGGGTTTCTTCCAAAAAAACATACATAAAACATACATATAAAAAAAACTCGAGGGGGGGGGGAAAGGGGGTTTAACCCCAAAACCACCCCCCCCCCCTGCGTACGCGCCTGGGGAAAACTATATCTAATATTTTATAGTTGTTGTTGCTATGAAGAGTAGTTCTTGGGCAAGATTTGAAGAATGATATTCAGCAAAGTTAGGTCTTTAGTAAATTCTGCCATTATGTGCATCATATCCACAGGTCCAAAGAAGATATGCACGTTACCGATGCAAACTAGTTCATATCACATGGCTGGTAGGAAGAAAACGCGCATTTGAGAAAAGAAACAGTAAACAAAAAAACTTCCCTTTTATCTATTATTAAAAGTGTAATACTAATAAAGGCAACGAACATTGACCGATGTGTGTCGTTATCGAATTCATATATTTCCACATTTCTCGAAAATAGGCGAACATTTCGACTCACTATGCCGCGGTTATACGTTGTCCATAATAAATATAGGACAAATTGATTTTTTTCTTCGGTACTCATGCACTCAAACAAGCCCCTGAATTACACGATTGATTTATTGTCATTGTCATTCAGGGTGCGACATCGGGGGGGGGGGGGGGCATTTCACAAAGCATTTTTTCACTGACACAAATAACAAAAATCAGTGACAATTGTGCTGATAACCAATCAGAATCAAGGAGTTCAGTAGCTTATAACACAAATTGTCATTTGTCACTGAGTTTGTGTGAAACGTTTTGTGAAACGCCCCCTGAACTTTATTTAATCATGCAATAAGTATTTGCTGAATACAAAAAGTAATAACATGTGAGCCACTGTTTTTTTTTTATAATATGATTTTGTTCTTCGATTGCTTATTTGTTTTTGTGTGTGTTGTATGTGTGAATGATAATATATAATGAAACTAAACAATCAAACACACTATCCATACGGTGTGTTGAATCAAGGCCTGAGATACTCTAGACCGTACAATAAGCCGAATTCCAACTGTCCTTACAAAGTCCATTCGTGCTCCTTGTAACGTCGAGAAAGCTCATGTGATTCAGATCAATTTGAATTAAGGGTGGATTAGAGGTTTAGAAAATCATACTTCAGAACAGAACATTTATTTGATTTCAGGAAAATGAAGTAGTCTTTGTTGTGAAGGTTTGTTTTTAATTGAAACTCCGAATCAGCCATGATATCAACCATGATATCGAGCCTATATATGCACTTATCTTACTTATAATTTACCCTAAGTCTCTGTAATTCTGAAGGGGCAATATAAGTAGCAATAGAATTTGACCGGCTGATTAAATAAAAAATGAATAAGCCATTTTAAATTAAGATACTAACGAATAGTTTTTTTCAGGTGTAGCGTTGAACTGGCTCATTTATCGATTATCCAGAATAATGACGAAATGCGAAATCCATTCTGAGCGACAGCTGATAAAACAAATATATATTGTTTGTATTATAATGACAGTATTTGCACTGTATAGATTTGAGGTCAGTATAAAGATGAGGCAAATACAAGAGCGAACAATTGTTATCCACTTCCACTTGTTTGAAAGATTATGAAGTGAAAATTTGTTTCATGTAGTTGTGAAATAGTCCATTTAATGTCATGCTTGGTATTGCTATTCGTTTTGAATTGGACAACTATTTAAATCAAACATTCGCCTCCCCCCATGAAACGTAGTAGTCATCAAGTCTATATTAGGCCTACTCTTTAGCAGTCAGAGATAGTGTGCTCAGCTCCGGGATTCTGTCACTCTTGAGTATTTTTGGCGCCAGTTTATTTGGACAATCTGTCGTAAGTGTGACCAATCAAAGATCGATTAGCCAAATAAAACAAATCGCTGCACTACAAAACAGTAAATCAAACATTACACGGAAGAACACGTCACCATTGTTTACGCATGAACACTTTGGGTATATCATAATAATAGGCCCGTTCACACATAACAAGGGGGGGGGCAGTGCACGACAAGCAAACTGAAGAAAAATAATCCTCCCAAAATGGCATAGCCATATATAAAAAGATTGTCCATACACATATACTGATCTGTACAGTAATGAGTATTAGGCCTTCACTTTTCGATATATCATGAACATGAACATCTAGTGAGTGAGTGACTCCTGGGCCATGACAAAGAATGACAGAAATAGAGTTGATGCCTTTGGAATGTGGTGCTACAGGAGGCTGTTGCAGATGTCATGGAAAGATAAAAAGACAAATGTGTGGGTCCTGGAAAAGATTATAACAGACTCGACCATCAGAAGGGGAATCATGGAAAGAAAACTAAACTATTTTGGGCACATTGTTAGGAGATCTGAAGGTGTTGATAAGCAAATACTGCAAGGAGCAGTCGAAGGAAAACGAGGTAGAGGTCGTCCACCAATATCTTGGACTGATGATATCAAGAAAGTGTCTGGACAAGGAATGAAAGGTGCAACACAAATGGCAGGTGAAAGAGTTGCATGGCGTGCTCTCGTGAAGACCACAGCAGCGCTTTACAGCGCCACCTGAAGTTGAAGATGATGATAATGAACATCTAGTACCGGATGCGTGGGATTGGGGCTTGGAACAATGGAGCCACTGAAAAAAGTGTAGACCAGCTTTATAGACCATGAGCAGTCTGGTCATGAAAGCAGTTTAATCCTTGGACCGTGTCAGGGCCCTAGTACTGCGTGGGCTCTGGTAATTCTCTCCTCATCATTATGAGCCCAATCCGGAGAGAAAGGGTAGGCCTACTATATCTCTCATTGACATTACCTCACTACAAACAAGAATAACATGTTTCTTTTGTAATGACATTTTAATTAAACTGACAATGCTTTGTTCCTTTATCACACGTCTTCAGACATAAGTCGTGTATCGAAGGGGCAAATCAATGTTTCTCTGAAAGAGGGGGTGGGGGTGATTTAGAAAATCTGACAACAACAGAAGAATAAAAAGAGGGGTTAAAAAGGTGCCTTTCTTGATGATTAAAAAGAAGAAAAAAGAAGTGGGAGCATGCTTTTTCCTTTGTTTACTTAATTCAGATATGCCACATTGGTTTTAAAGGATGCGCAGGACGATTGAGCCCCCCCCCCCTCCCCATCCGCCATTGCATCATGATTTCATGGGTCTGTACCCCTTGACCAACTGCACCATGCCCTTAATACATATCTGCCGTTTCCAGGTAGAACGGACTAAATCAACTTTGAACGAGAAAGAAAAACTCCACTTCATACAAAATAAATACAAAATCAAATTCACAGGTGCAACGAGGGTGGGGGTGGGAAGCTATAGGAATGCGAAACGCCGCTACATCTTTTCCTCTTGAGAGAAAAACATGGATATGGATTCCCCTTTTGTAGATAAAAAGACCTCGCACCTCCCCTATGGAGCATTTGGGAGAGGGCAGGTGGGAGCGGAAAAGGGGAAAATAGCCCAATCGGTAGGAAGATTATCTTCGCATTCTGCCCTCTCCCAAATAGTTAGGGGAGAGAGAAAGCCTTGAGGGGTAGCGGTACTCCCAAAATAATGTTCCTACGAGGAGGGAGAGAGAATGATAGAGAAAGAAAGCATGAGAGACAGAGAGAGAGAGAGAGGTAGAGAAAGAGCGAAAATGGGAGGGAGGGGGGGGGGGGCGGAAGTAATCAAATATAAAATACTTGATAGCTACAAGATTTCTACATGTTGAAAATTGGAATGTCCATATCAAAAGCCAAAATTGTGCAACTTCTGAGAATGTGTGTTAATCGGTTGAAAGGTTTGTATTATTTCTTAAATTACTTAGATTTTTGATTTTTCAACTAGTTTGAGTGAAATTAGGCCTCATAATCTAATTTGGTAATTCAGGATAAAAAAAAAGTCGATAGAATGATATTAAAAGAGTCCAACTGGAATGCACTTCGAATGCCGATAGAAATATAGAATCTTTAGATTGTTGCTCGAATGCAGCTCGAATATTTGGAATGGACTTCGAATGCCGTCGAAATCTTTAGATTGCTGCTCGAATGCGGCTCGAATGAATGGAATTCACTTTAAATGCCTTCGGAATCTTTAGATTGCTACACGAATGCAGCTCGATTGATTGGAATGGACTTCGATTGCCGTCGGAATCTTTAGATTGTTGCTCGAATGCTGCTCGAATGATTGAAATGCACTCTGAATGCCCTTCGGAATCTTTAGATTGTTACTCGAATGCCGCTCGAATGATTGTAATGCACTTTGAATGCCGTCGGAATCTTTTAGATTGCTGCTCGAATACGGCTCGAATGATATTAAAAGAGAACAACTGGAATGCACTTCGAATGCCGATAGAATCTTTAGATTGTTGCTCGAATGCAGATCGAGTGTTTGTGATGGACTTTGAAATCTTTAGATTGCTGCTCGAATGCGGCTCGAATGATTGGAATTCACTTCATATGCCGTCGGAATCTTTAGATTGCTGCTCGAATGCAGCTCGATTGATTGGAATGGACTTCGGATGCCGTCGTAATCTTTAGATTGATGCTCGAATGCGGATCGAATGATTGGAATGCACTTCGAACGCCGTAGGAATCTTGAGATTGCTGCTCGAATGCAGCTCGAATGATTAGATTGCACTTCGAATGCCGTCGGAATCTTTAAATTGCTGCTCGAATGCAGCTCGAAGGATTCGAATGCACTTCGATTGCCGTCGGAATCTTTAGATTGCTGTTCGAATGCCGCTCGAATGATTGGAATTCACTTCAAATGCCGTCGGAATCATTAGATTACTGCTCGAATGCAGCTCGATTGATTGGAATGCACTCCGAATGCCGTCGGAATCTTTAGATTGCTGCTCGAATGCAGCTCGATTGATTGGAATGCACTCCGAATGCCGTCGGAATCTTTAGATTGCAGGCTTTTGCTGCTCGAATGCGGCTCGAATGATTGGAACGCACTTTGAATGCCGTCGGATTCTTTAAATTGCTGCTCGAACACGGCTCGAATGATATTAAAAGAGACCAACTGGAATGCACTTCGAATGCCGATAGAATCTTTAGATTGTTGCTCGAATGCAGCTCGAATGTTTGGAATGGACTTCGAATGCCGTCGGAGTCTTTAGATTGCTGCTTCAATGCGGTTCGAATGATTGGAAATCACTTCGAATGCCGTCGGAATCTTTAGATTGCTGCTCGAATGCAGCTCGAATGATTTGAATGCACTTCGAATGCCGTCGGAATCTATAGATTGCTGCTCGAATGCGCTCGAATGATTAGAGTGCACTCCGAATGCCGTCGGAATCTTTAGATTGCTGCTCGAATGCGCTCGAATGATTAGAGTGCACTCCGAATGCCGTCGGAATCTTTAGATTGCTGCTCGAATGCGCTCGAATGATTAGAGTGCACTTCGAATGCCGTCGGAATCTTTAGATTGCTGCTCGAATGCGCTCGAATGATTAGAGTGCACTCCGAATGCCGGCGGAGTCTTTAGATTGCTGCTCGAATGCAGCTTGAATTATTAGAATGCACTTCGAATGCCGTCGGAATCTTAGATTGCTCCCCGAATGCGGCTCGAATGAAATTAAAAGAGTCCAAGTTGAACGCACCCCGAAGTTTGTGGGTGTTATAACCAACACGGAAAAGTCAACAAAAAGCCAAGGCTAGAATTAAAACTTAAAAAAGCGCTATCTCGTTTTTCAACGGCTGGTTCAAAATTACCGATTTTTTGTTGGGCACAAGCCTACTAATATTAGAAATGCTTATATTTATGGATATTTCAGTCGTATGTGAACCGATTTTGAACAAACAAAGGCGATTTTGTCATTCAAATTTTATATTCTTTCTAATTTGACATTAAGTTTTTCATTATCTCACAACAAGGATTATGTGTAGCGCCCTCTGCAACAAAACTCAACTATCCCTTTAAGTCAGACCAGCAGAAACGGCAGTTAGTATCCGCAGTATGAAATAACGCATGCGCGTTTTTTAAGTATAGATGATGAGGTAATGCAACAGTACTTGCGAAAAGGGGACTTCCCGGTGGAAATTCCCACACACTTCCCATGCATCTTCCCCTTTTGATATTCAAATTAACCACATAAAAATTCCGTCTCACATGCCTGAATACAATATTGCTGTACAAACAAAATTTGCCAGCTTATAGTTTATAACGCTGGTAAATACATTTCCCGACGGGAATTGCCACAACCGGCCAGCTTGCTATACAGCACTCCGTACTACAGCTCCACAGAGGGTCGGAAGCTCCCGTGCTTTATCAGTGGACGAGAACAAGAGCGATGGGAATGTATTCATACTACGTCATCACAGTAGTAAACATTGTCGCCAACTGTTTGTCGGGGAATAACTTTTCCTGCTGTTTCTGTAGATCAAGTAAGTTGAGTTTTTTTGTTGTTCTTCTTCATGCATGCCATGTATCTTAAAGGTATAGAGCAGTTTTGGAAACACCCCCCCCCCCTACTCAAAAAATGAAATGGAAGCTCTTATTACCAATCATGTGAAAGAATATTTTTTGACTAATTCGTGATGGAAATCGCCTACTAATTGATATATTTAGTAAATTATCATCTCGATCCGGCCTTGATAGATATCGCGAACGCACTTCAACATTGAACATTTTGGAATATATTTCTCCTTTTGTGCGAATTTAGGTATTAGTATTTTTTTAGTACTGCCATCTAAACCTCTGAAGATAATATTTAAACAATATTGAATGGATATTTTGCACCCAAAACCCTTGAACCGCAATTTCACCATTACCGGTCTTTACCTCTAATGTTTATCTCGATAAACTCGTATAAGCGAAGGGCCAAAGTTATTAAAACGAAAGGGTTGCCTGCCGCTACCGCACAAACTAACCACACTTTGTTTATTTGAAAGATTTTATCATAATACACACAATTTTGAGGAAAAAAGTATTTGGTAAATAGTATAATAAGGAAATTTCAAACCACCATGAGTTTACTTTCATATGAAAAAGAATTAATTATCTACATTTTGATACCAATTTTAATGGAATTTGGATTAATTAACATCACAATTTTAAGTAGAAACAGGATTTTTGTGATTATTTTTTCATATTTAATTTAATTTTGATTTTAATTTCAACCAAAAGCGTTATTTTCCAATATCAAAGTCAGAGAGGTGTCTTTATTTGTAACTTTTCATAAAGTTGCAAATGTACAAGGAAAATGTATTGTGCACAGGGAAATCTTATACCTCTTTTCATTGAAAAATTATAGTAACCAATGATTGCTTGACGTCCACAAAAACGTAAATAGTGCCCATATGTGTATTAATTACATGTATATGCATATATACAGTAGGCTTACGGTTGCACCATGTGAGAGAGGGGGAGAGGATTGGGGAGTCCTGAAAAGGACTGTCGGTAATCTTTCTTGCATATAGGTGTATCATGACATTAAAAAGAAAATACTGATAAAAAAGAAAGTTACACAAACACCAAAACAAAAAACAATACTCGTAAATATATATGCATGTTAAGTTCAGTAACAAATAAATTCCGTAAACCTTCAGACAAAATAGTCTACACATTCCAGGGATCTTTTGAGTTCTATAACCTGCAATATGAGTAATTGAAAATGATCGCGATCATTATGGAAACAAACCCAATAAATATATTATAGTCTTGCCTGTTTGTTCACACAAACTGTATGGGTCTCATCAGCTTTGGCAAATCAGCTTTGTGAATAAACAAGGTGTAGTTAGTTTGTGTGGTAGAGGCATGCACAGTGAAGGATCTAGCGGGGGGGGGGGGGGGGGAGGGAGCCCGGGCCCCCAAAACAGGTAATTGTAATATTTTCTCACGAATTTGGAGGGGAAAAAATGGTGCTCCTAACCCCTGGATCTGCTTGTTTGGGATGCTTCCATTTTCAAGGTTAACAACTGAAGGAACATTTTCACATGTGGCCTGATATTGGAAAGTTTAGGAAAAATAGTTTTAGACAACCATATCTTTAAAACCGTATCCGGACACCTACCCCCTGGACATCCACCCCAAGATAAACACCCCAGTCAAATACCTCCTAGGACAACTACCCCCTAGGAAACCTACCACCTAGGGCAACCACCCTCTAGGACGACTACCCCCGGGACAACTACCCCCGGACAACTACCCCCTAGGACAACTACCCCCCGGAAAACTACCCCCAGACAACCTCCCCCTAGGACAACTACCCCCCGAACAACTACCCCCTAGGATAGTTGTCCAGAAGTAGGTGTCCTAGAAGATGGTTGTCGTAGGGGGTAGTTGTCTGGGGCTAGTTGTCCGGGGAAGTTGTTCTGGGGGAAGATGTCCGGGGGTAGTTGTTCTAGGGGGTAGTTGTCCGGGGGGTAGTTGTCCGGGGGTTAGTTGTCCTGGGGGGTAGTCGTCCTAGAGGGTTGTTGCCCTAGGGGGTAGTTGTCCTATAGGGGTTGTTGTCCTGGGGGGTAATTGACTGAGGTAGTTATCCGGTGTGGACGTCCAGGGGGTAGGTGTCTTAGAACCCTTTAAAACAAGTTTGATAAGGAAAATAAATGAATGGTTAATTATGTGCTGAAAACATATTCTCTCATCTTTCAGTTATGTCTACTAGCAGTACCCCAGTAGAGCTGGTCAATGATTAAAACTCACAAACTATAAACCTAGTGATACATTGGAATGATATTTGTAGACCTTTATTCAGACCTATACGTAAGATGAACATGTACGCATGCAGAGAATGTCGGTATTCCCGGAAAAGACAACCCTGCATGATCACAAATATGTGCCTTCCTCTGTATGCTTAATTACTACCGGTATCACTTTCATGTCTCCTCAAAGAGTTATCCTGTTTACATGCATGTACTTGTATCATAGTCAAGTTGGGCATTGAACAAATGGATGGCTAGCTAATGTATAGTTCAGAAGTCACATTGTGCAGCAGATATTTGTTACAATCCCTGCTATACAGTACACCTGCAACCAGGCATGTAAACTTGTATGTTGTATGTTTATTGAAATTCTAATAATAATAATAATAATAATAATAATAGCCTAATAGTCCACTCCAAATTTTATTAAACCGAAACGGAAATTCTTTTTGCCCAATTGATCGTGAGCCCGGCAGCCACTGAGCAGCGCCAGATCGACGTTGCTCTATTCCTTATTGTTGAACGCCAAACAAGGTAGCAACAACTCCCATCTTTTAACGTCTTTTGGTATGACGCGGCCGGGGTTCGAACCCATGACCTCCCGGTTGTGAGGCGGACGCTCTACTGACTGAGCCAACACTCCGGTATACTGGTATAGAGGAAAAAAACTATGAAATAAGGGAACTGAGGAGATACTATTTATGCGTCAGGAAACATTTTGTTTACTTTATCATTTGTCCAAATCTAGTTAAACATTAGGCCTTCTGTTACATTATTTTTACTGATTAACATTAACAATTCTTTTTTCGGGGGGGGGGTAGTGTTGGCAGCATTATCCCTACTTAACCCTGAAAATACTGATCCATTTGTGTTTATTCTTGGTATTGAAATTGTATGTTAATTTCTTCATAAAGTAACAACTTTTTGGGTTAAGAATTACAGCAATAACAGCATTGCCCTCTTAAATTTTAATTGGAACGCAGGAGACAGCAAGCATTGATGTTCAGATATGTATCTGTGACAAGGAAGTAATCAAAGAAAGAAGATCTACATAGTAATATTTGTGCTGAATATAATGAAACAAATTAGGAATCGATTTTGCTGCAGATAGTCCATTGTATTTATTTTCTTCTTCTAAACAGCTACTTTGGCACGATGTTTGTACACCTAAATCTGCAGCCATAAAGAAAAACAATCTTTTGTGAATTTGAAAGACAACTATGTATTGAAAGGCAACTGAGTATTATGAGTATTATTACATTGCACCTTGGACCTGTCACGTTCTACATGAGTAGGGGAGAAAGATAGACCTACAGTTGTCAACTGAATTATTCATAACCTTTGTAAATGTGATATTTTGGGGTTTTCCCCTACCTTAAGGATGAAAGGTGGATTTGTTGAGTTAGGGCATATGTTGAAAACTTTTTGATCTAAGCTTGTATGTGTAATATTCCTAAGAAATGTAAAATCGGAACAAATGAAGTTTACACATACTTAGATACTTTTAAAACTTGGTAAGAGCATGAATAATTCAGTCGTTAAATGTAAATAGATCGAGGAAGATAGAGAAAGAGAGGGGGGGGGGTGTACAGGAGATATAGATATATATATAGGCAATTAGAGAGAGAGAAAGAAAAAAAAGAGAGAAAAGGATAGAGAGATAGAGAGAGAGAGAGAGAGAGGGGGAGGGATAAAGAAAGATAGAGAGAAGGAGAGAAGGGGATCCAGGGAGAGAAAAAGAAAGAAAAGTGTAAATAGAGAAACAGAGAGAAAGAAATAGAGAGAAAGAAATAGAGAGAAAGAGAGAGAGAGAGAGAGAAGAGAAAGATAAAGAGAGAAGAGGGTGGTGAGATTAAATACAGGTATAGGTACATTAGAAAAGGTTTTCTTTCCTCCAAATCTTGTAAAACATGAGGCCTACTATTACAATAAATGGTTAACATAACAGTCTTTTCCGGGGGTTGGTAGTGTTGGCAGCATTATCCCTACTAAAAGTAGCCTATATTTATCCCTGAAATGATGATCTATTTGTGTTTATTCTTGGTATTGAAGTTGTACATTAATTTCTTCATAAAGCGACAATTTGTTGTGTAAAAAATTACAGCATTGCCCAAATAAATTGTATTTGAAACTCAGGAAACAGTAAGCATTGATATTCAGATATGTGTCTGTGACAAGGAAGTAATCAAAGAAAGAAGATCTTCATAGTAATATTTTTGCTGAATATAATGAAACAAATCATGAAGAGATTTTGCTGCAGATAGTCCATTGTATTTATTTTCTTCTTCTAAACGGCTACTTTGGTACCATGTTTGCTACCTTGTATCTGCAGCCATAGAGCAAAACAAGCTTGTGCATTTGAAAGACAACTGTGTATTGAAAGGCAACTGTGTATTATTACATTGCACCTTTGACCTTTCACGTTCTACATATGTGAGAGAGAAAGATAGATCTAAAATTATGAACTGATTATTCATACCTTCGGTAAATGTGATGGTTATTTTTTCCCTCGTAACTAACGAATGAAAGATGGGTTGGTTGAGTTAGGGCATATGTGGAATACTTGTATGTGTCATTTTCTCAAGAAACGTAAATCGGGACAAATCCAGTTTGTCTCGTATATACAAACAAATACTTACAAACTTGGTATAAAGTAAGAGCAAGAATAATTTAGTTGTTAACTCTAGAGAGAGAGAGAGAGAGAGTCAGAGAGATAGATAGAGTAAGAGAGAGAGATAGAAAGAGAGAGTGAGAGTGCGAGAGAGAGAGAGAGAGAGAGGGAGAGAGAGAGAGAGGGTGGGGTTGTACAGGAGATAAATAGAGGAATAGAGAGAGAGGGGAGAGAGAGAGAGAGAGAGAAAGAGAGAGAGAGAGAGAGGGTGGGGTTGTACAGGAGATAAATAGAGGAATAGAGAGAGAGAGAGAGAGAGAGAGAGGGGGAGGGAGAGAGAGAGAGAGAGAGAGAGAGAAAGAGAGAGATATAAAGAGAGAGAGAGAAAGAGCGTTTCTTTTAAAGGGGGACCAGGGCGAGAAGAAAGAAAGAAAAATAAAGAAAATATAGAAACTGAGAGTTTAGAATGTTATGTTTTTATATTAAAACAGGCACAAATATATCAAATCAGATCAGCTAGATCATCTAAATCAGGATGGCAACCGTGGAGGTCGGACAGCGAGTTGTCCGGAGCGCCACCTGGACATGGCGAGATCAAGATGGCGGTGAGGGTCATCTTGGGACAGTGGTCAAGCTCAAAGATCAAGACCCTCAGGAACCCATTCCTACAGGCTGGGCCAAGGTCAGATGGGATAATGGTCATGGTAACAACTATCAGGTCGGGTCCAGTTGGTTATATGATCTTGCGCTCTTCGACAATGCCCCCGCAGGTAATAATTCCCTGACTAATTCTCGTCAAAACAATATTTTAGTTCATATTAAAATATAAATCATAACTAGTACAGTAATCAATAGATTATGTTGAAATGGTCAGTGACTATATATTGTTTTCATATTTTACAGTGACAAATTTTAAGTTCAAGTGTCTTAAGGGGGATTCATTTCAAGGCATATTGACAGCTTCATAAATACTGCATCACAATTTCTTAATTCCTTTTCCAGGTGTGATTCATGTTGGTGTAGTGTGTGATAGCTGTTTGATGGATCCTATAGCTGGCATACGCTGGAAATGCAGTGATCAAAGCTGCCCCGATTATGATCTTTGTACTCCATGCTACATGAATGATGAACATGACTTGAATCATATATTCACTCGCTTCACCAGCCAGAAAGAAACAGGGTTTGTGTTTCTAAAAAGTATTTTTTTTTAACTATGAGTCTTTGCTTTTGTTAATTTTACATTAAAATGCAATTTAGTTTGTGAACATGAAAATATCTTTCATATGAAAGTGGGATATATAGCTGGAAAAGTTAATGTAGTTCAGGATGTACTCAAGAAGCGGGTCAAAGGGGGCGTTGTCCCTAAAAAATGAAAGATAGGTAGATAAGCCCCTCCCACCCCAGGGTGTACGTGATGAGATCCAGTCGATTTGAGTGATGATGTCATAATTCATGTAAAGATTGTGATGTCAAGGTATTCAGTGTTGTTTCTAAGTCTTACTATAAAGGACCTTTTTAGTCATAAAGGAAAAAAAATCAATTATAACTATGCCCTTACTAACCTTGTTTTAACCCCTGCTGGCAAACTTTTGACTCAAAACAATTTGAGTTGGAACTGTCTCAAAATGTACTTTACCTCTTTTGATGTATTTAAATGAGTAAAGTCCACACAATCTGATTGTTCTACTAGCTTCATACATTTCTCTTAAAAAAAAATTAAAAAAAGATTTGTTTGTTTCCTTAGGACACAAGTGACACCAAGATTTGGAAAAGCGAAGACAGTTTCCAGAGGGCTGTGTCCACAGGCAGAAGTCCGTAAAGGGAAGAATTGGCAAGAAGATGGTATGAAGTTCTTTTTATAATTTGTCCTTTTATTTCCCTTACATTTTCGGTTTGCCTTTTTGCTAATACAATGCCTGTAAATTTGTGATTTTAGTAACTTGTTTAAAAAGCATGATTATAAATCATTATAAACTTTAGCTTAGCAGGAATGGAATTTAGGATTGAATGATTTCATTTTCTTAGCCCAACCATATGGGCCCTTTGGTCAGATATGAACACTGTCGTTGTTTTCTTTTAGCCTTTGTCCATGAGTGCTTGTTTGCCACACGTGCAATTTTGCACAAAACAGTAAACACCAATTGATGGAAGGATTGCTTTGTGTAATTTATTGTCTTAATTAGCTCCACGATAACTCTTGTAACCTTGTAAAAAAGTTTTTGATTTTAAAGCCTTTTGTATATTTCTCCCATGATAAATAGAATGTGGTACAAGGGGGGAAGGGGGTATTTTTGATATATATAAAGAGTTAATGGACTTGAAGATTTATTATTCAGGTAAATTTGTGGTAGCCACTGTGAGTATTTAAACAAATGAAGTACACGTATCCCCACAGAAATGCCCCTGATCAATAAATAATTAGAATGTTTGGCTTACATTTAGTAATAAAGTTGACATATACCTGTAGTATCATGTTATGTCTGGTAATTATTGAGTTATTGATTAACAATACTTCATTTTGTTTAGCTTTTGTAAATATTCTGTCTAAAAACGTGGAGTGATTGAATATCCTCTCGATGATTCAGATGCCGGTGGGACTGTTCTTGAGATATGTCCCTTCTCTGAAAGGCCACGATCAGGCGTCACTGTTTGCTGGACTCAGTCTAAACTGGTCACTACTCATAGAGTTGGATTTGATGGGAAAATGGATCTGAAATGCACCACGGCAGGAACAGGGATAGCTTACTATGCTACACATCTCCCTGTTTTAGGTATTGTATCAAGCAGTTCGTCCTTTTTCCCACAATATTGGCTGCTCTATTTCTTTTTTTTCTCTATTCACTTTTTAATTTTGGATTACACACGTGTTTTCCGCTCTACCTGTTGTCTACATTCCATCACCCTTATCTTAATGAAAATCTTCATCACTGTAACAGGTATTGGTATCAGAACCTGTCATAATCATTAGAATCATAATCATCAGCAGTACCATTATTATCATCATTATCGTCGTGATCATCATCATCTTTATCAGCTTCATCATCATCATCATCATCAACAGCATTATCATTTTGATCATCATCACTCTTTCTTCTAAAAACTAGTACTTTATCTGTCATCCTCCGTGTTCATCTCCTTTATTTCATTGTTATTATGGTTCATCCTCTTATTATATACCATGTTGATGTATTATAATAAATAGTGATTTGCTATACAGAGTGTTGCTGAGAAAATAAAAAACAAGCTTTTGGATCTAAAATTACTTATTTACTTAATTACTTAGTATTAATTTTTTTTCGATTATATGTACACCATTGGAAAGCTCATGCTACCTTTTTTTTTAAATATCACACCAAAACCATGTTCAAGAAGTCACTCAAGATCAATTTCAGACACTCTGTAGTAGAATTATTACAAAATATGTAAATGGCTGCTAAGTTCGGTTTATTATGCTCTTTAAGGAAGGAAAATTATATGGAATTATTTATCATTGCAAATACATATCATTTAAAAGCTCTTAATCTCTTATATTTTTAACTGGCTTTCGATTTTTGCATTTATTATGATGTAATTAACTTTTGTTGATTATTTGGTAAAACAAACAATATCAACTTTGAACTTCAAGTTCTTTTGACATAGCTCTTCAATTTAAGAATTCTATTTATTTATAATGTCCAACCTCTCAACTTCATTGATGTGGTTGTTTTGATAACAGGTAAAGAGGTTGGTTTGAAGGTTGGAGATCTGGTAGCTATTACTCTGGACAGGGAAACATTGCATATCATGCAACAGATGGGTGGGCGAGAGTGGTTACCAGCAATGGGAAATGTGAGTAGCATGATACAAATACAAATGATTAGATAAACAAACATACAACAAATGTACGCAGACAAGAAAAAGCCATAAAATAAAATAGAAAATGCGTAAACAACTTTTTAACATGTAAATTTAAGTAAAGGAAATGTTAACAAGTACAAAATAAACTGAGACCGAATAAATGAATGCAAAGATAACTAAAAACAAGTAAGCAAACAAATGTTTAACAAACTAATATAAACGAACTATCTATTTGCAACAGAACACATTATTTGTGTTACAGAGGTGTTTTGAATAACATTAGTAAAGTCGGCTATACAGCCTGTATGTGATACAAAAGATTATACACAAAAACAAACACCAATAGCTATATAAAGTACACGTAAAGTACCCCAAAAAATATATGAATACATATATATGATTATGTGTATATACTGTAACATACAGAGCAGAATAGGGTTGCTGTTATAAAATGATATATTTAATGATCGTGATCACTTGGAATATCTTCTAATTCCATTGATCTTCTGTTCACACTCTTTACCCTTTTAGCTGTTTGGAAAGGTTGCCAAGGTTACTGGTATCAACTCAAGCGAGAACGCAGAGGTCACTTACGCTGAGAGAAAAGAACAACCTTTCACCTTCCATCCAAATGTACTGAACAAGGTATGGTCTGAAGTTGAACGTCACTTGCTCTTGCGACAATTGCTCTGCAGTAATTTCTAACTTCACCCTCTGACCCAACACTATTGCTAATCCCAACCCTAAAACCAACTCTAACTAGCCCTACGCAAAAGTTGCCAGAAAATCTTTAGGAGCATCATCGTCTGAACTTTGATTAGAGAAATGCCATGGAGAAAGTCAATAGTAAAATAAATCGATGCAATACATTGCATTAAACATGTAGTGTAGTGTAAAAGGGGTCTATTGAAACGTACATAAATAAGTGAAATAGTATTGATGATGACTATTAATATGTTTCTTGAATTGAGGGACGTACATGATCTATAGTCTATACATATTCTATTTATTTACGTTTGCTCAAATTGAACTTCACCTTATTTTTCCTTCCTACATGTAATTTCACATCTGCCGGATATTTATTTGTATTAAAAGCCGTCTGTACTAGTTTGTCCAGGAGGAATTACACCACCCAGGAAGGTCACTGACAGGTGGTTATCTCATCAACTCAGCTCTCAATTAACATAAGAAAAAGAGGATAATGGGGGACCGATTAGGCATTGTTTTCTATATAGAGGAAGCAAGTAGCTACGATTAGTACAGTGGGCCTTTAAGTTTTCATGTTAACTCACTGTAACTCTCCATATCTGATACACAATCTCTCTCTCTCTCTCTTTATTCTCTCTCTAAAACAGTGTATCATTTTCATCGTTTTCTCCATTCTCCATATATTTCCAGGTTCCTAGGCTAGGTAAGGGAGACCGTGTGCAGATCAATAAAGACTTAAAGTTTGTGATGAATCTTCAAAAAAACAGTCAAAATGGATGGGTGGATGGCATGGAAAAGGTCAGTCAAACCAAACTTTTAAACAATATGAAGTTCTGTGTGACTTGTTAACACTTTATGTGCCCATAAAGTACCAAGTCCGGGACCAGTAATAGAGCCCCACTTTGTTTGGGCTTGGCATGAACCGGAGAAGAAAACTAAATGTAAAACCTCACCCTTTTTCGATAATGTTACTTATGAAAGGAATTGCCAAAAGCAAAAAAATCTAATGAATGGACTGATTCTATTGTTGCAAACTACCTCACAAATGTTTAATACATGTTTGTACCAAATTTATGACTCTACTGTAGCTTCATAGGTTATGATACTGTCGATGATTATTGCATTAATAATTACACGATGCATGCAATGCATGTGCTGGAAACAAAATAATGAAATACCATCGAACTGGCGGTAACTAAGAATACAAATCTTTCAGGATCAATCAGTATGTCACATGACATTTAAAATATGTCATGATCATGATTGCAATCAATCAAAGCTGACCATTCATTTTAGGCAAAAATAAAAAATCAGTTTCAAACTAGTTTCAACTGTTGTTATTTTGGGATACATAACGTCCGGTGGTTTTTCATGAGAAAGTATGGTTACTACACGGGGAGCCACTGGTGATTACGGCATAGGAAGGTCTTACCATATTTCTGAAAGTCGATTTGTGGTCTTTCTAGGAAACTCTTTGGGACCCAGGATTAAATTGTTAATATGTTATCCTATATCACTACGGATCAAATACAATAAAATACATAATACAAAGAGTTGGACCAGTTTAATAGCTTCTTTTAATGAGAGTATGTTTTTAAGTGAACTATGGGGTTTCAAATCTTGTATTATAAATGATTATTATATTCAACTTTGGTTTTCTTGGAAGACTGGTAGCAAAAACTTGTATTTAATAATTCTGTAGCCTTTCTCCAAAAACAAAATATATGTATATTGCACCCTTGTGATTACGAGTGTCACATGAGAGTTACTCATCGAATTGGATACTCTCTAACATTCTCTGTTTATATATTAGATGTTACATCAACTCTGTTTCAGTCTCGATATTCCGTTTCTATTTTAGTATCTAGGAATAGAAGGGACAATGATGAACCTCATAATAGCTAGGTATGATTGATCGGTTTGAAGAGGATAAAGCCTTGGGATTTTGATGTAAGAGTGTTCTTTTTAAGGATGTTTCACTATGTGCAAAATGGATTATTAAACATTACTTCATGTCTATTTCCAGTATCTAGGAATGGAAGGGACGGTGATGAACGTTGATTCACAGTACAACAGCCGGGTGCGATTGATTGGTTTGGAGAAAATGTGGTCATGGCATCCCTGTTCCTTGATCCTCGTCAAGAAGAACTCATCAGATGATGACAAGCAGAGTGCTGAATCTATAGGCCTCAAGCTAGGTTGGTTGGGATATTGAATAACCTTGCTGCTAACCTTGTCAGAGACAATTTTTCCTTGACAACTTTCGCTGTAGTCCCCCATGTTTGATATTAGCACCAAGGCTATTATCTTCTGGCGAGAACCTTGGACCCTGTTTCATAAAACATGTTATCAATGATGTCCTTTGGCAAGATATTAATCTACATTTGCCACTCTCCATCCTGGTGTTAAATGGTTACCCGGAAGGAAGTGAATTTCAATGTGTTTGGATTGACATATGAACTTGCAAAATGATGCCTGGCTGAAATACTCCCCAGGGAGCAGAGTGTGCGCACTGTAATGTGGGGATTAGCAACCGAATCGTATGACTCTGGTAGATAATAATAATTACAATGTAAAGTGCTTAGAAACGTAGTATTAAGTACCATGATACAAATCTTAATATTGTGATGATTGGTATCTTCTATTACTGATCCAGATGGAAGTGGACAAACTGAAATCCACAAAGTCTTGCTATCACTACTCGGGACAGATTCAGGCGAAGGGGGTGACGGAGGTAATGTAATAAAACCAGGTTATTGTAAGTTGCATTTTCACATTCCACTTTGTATATTATAACTCTAAGTCCATATCTGGTTTATCTATAATTTAATTAATACCGATGTATTCATTATTTTGTGTAATGTCATATTCTTCTTTGCTATTTACTTCAATACTTTTCCTTCCTTTTCCCCTCATCTTTTTCTTGCGCTTAGAAAAATTATTATCAAGCGCTTTATAAATATAATGTATTATCGTTATTATTAATGTGGGGGTTAGCAACCGAATCCAATGACTCTGGTATATAATAATAATTACAATGTCAAGTGCTTAGGAACGCAGTATTTCGTATCATACAAATAATAATATTGTTATTATTAGTATCTTCTATTACTAATCCAGATGGACGTGGACGAACTAAAATGCTCAAGGCCTTGCTATCACAGCTGGCAGCTGGCAGCTCATCCGATAGTGATTCAGGTGAAGGAGAGGAAGAATCTCAACTGATTAAGGCTGCTAAGAGAGGCAATGTTGAACGTGTCGTGGAGATTCTATCAATATCACCAGAAAAGGTAATCCCATTTTACTTTAAAACTGTAAATCGAAACACTTTCAAGGCATTAAACTTTTGTGAATCTTGCCCACTCACGAATTTCATGACAGTGTCATGCACTTGACATTTTCATGTTTTCCAAAATATCTTTCAATACGGAGTTGAACTTTTGCATGTACATTGTAGAACCCAGTAGTAGTTTTGTTATAGCAACTTTAATACATACTTCTAAGCTGCTTCATAGATACGGAATGTATCTTTTTGCACATCACATCCTTTAGAGGCAAGCATCGTGGTATATTGGTGAAGGCTCATGACTATCATACATATATGAAAAGTCCAAGTTTGATCCTTGCTCAATGTTTGCAGCCTTGGACATGGTTTTTAACCAAATTCTTCCCTCTCAAGCCAAGTATATTATATGGGTAATGCGTATGGCTAATATTTGCGATCTGCTTCTCAATCGCTCCTCTCTCGGTCTCACACTATTCTTACAAACAATACGGTCAACATTCTTTCATCTATGCAGGTGCATTTCTTTGGAACAATCTCCCCCTTCAAATTCGCAATGCTAGTTTTTTAAATACATGTAAAACAATGCTAAAAGCACATCTCATTAAAGTCTTGTTCTTGAATAGCCCTTTTGACCTTTGCCTTTTATATTTTTGTAGATTAACGTAGGACACTATTAATTTATGAGCTAGTTGTATTTTGGGTGTAAGTGATGTGTTATTATGTACATGTATCTTTTTCATTTACAAAGTTTTAATGTTAATTGAATTGATTGATGCAATTTTTATAAATAAATATTCTGTTTCCTTTACTTTCAACTATTTTCCTTTTAAACCGTATGAGGCAAACATGCAATTTGCGGTATAGAAATATCTTATTATTATAATTTTTTATATTAATCGCAGGGACATAGGGGAGAGCCTTATAGATATTAATGAGGCTACCGTAGGTTAAAAAAAACTCTGTATCATCATGATTATTATATCACAGGCAAATTCAAAAATAGATGGGAAGACTGCCCTACACAGCGCAGCTGCCTATGGTCATCTTGAAGTAGTCCAGGCACTTCTGGAGTCAGGGGCTGAGATAGAAATCACGGATGATGATGGGGACACTCCGCTTCATTACTCTGTCGGAGGGTAGGTCATGTGGCAGGCATCTGACATTTGCTCCAGCAACAATCGCTATGGTGACAATTGCTCTGGCGATTTCTTGTCGAATGTAAAGGGTTAAGGCTCGCCGCAAAGAAAACAAACGCTGAGGTTTTTTTGTACATCGATGTATGGAAAATGTGGGCACTAAGGTACTGTGCATATTCAGCGAGCTCTTTGTTATACATAAAGACACAGAAAGGTGAGGCGTATTACACTTCATGTCATCGTAAAAAGACGCTGCAGTTTTCCAGGTCATATCTGAACGAGACCTAAGGGGTTAGGGTTGTGTTTGGGTTTTAGGTAAGGCTTAGGTTAGGGCTAGGTATAGTGTGTGTTTGAGGGTTGTAGTTAGGAATAGTGTAGGAAGTTACTGCAGACAGATTGGAGCATGTACCTTGCAATCTTGACAGAAACATGTCTGATGTGATATACAATGTACAGCCAAAGCCCTGTAGAATTATCATCCTTAGTGGGTACGTCTAGTAGATCACATGGTTCTAAGTCCTGCCGCAGCCCACTGATGTCCTTTGGCAAAATATTAATCTATGTTTCCTACCCTCCACCCATGTGATGTAAATGGTACCCGGTAAGGAATATTTTCCGGGAGTGCATTATTAGGGTAGCTCAGCTATAATGCCAGGGTATAGTACTGTACTAAGAAACTTAATATTGAGCGTATATAAATGTTTTTTTTTTTATTTCGTTTTTCTTCTTCTCCTTCTTTTTATTATTACTTTTAGTACAGAACCCTCTCTATGTAAATATGTGTTTTATTTTTAAACCATACCACAGAGATGAACCAGCTATCGCAAAGTATTTGATTGGTAAAGGAGCGAATATAAACAGAGGTAATGATAAAGGACGGAGAGCGATCCATGAAGCAGCTGTGAGGGGGTTTGTTGACTGTGCAAGGGTCTTGATTAATCATGGATGTGATGTTAATGTACAGGTATGTATGAACTTGGCCATTATTATTATTATAGATGTGAGAGTGACCCAATAAAGAGGGCTGCAGCCTATGAAATAGACAACAGACAAGACGGCCAACACGTGAGACCAACAGCCCACAAGACTCACAATGTCAAGTCTAGTGAACCTTCTAAAAGATTCCTTAAGGCCCTTGAGACTGACAGCCCACAACCTTTTTGATGGTTGGCCAAATTGATATTGTCGGTGTTGTGGGCTGTCGTTCTTGTAGGACATTGGTGTCATTGGCTGTCGGTCTCATGGCTATCGGTGTACTGGGATGCCAAGATAAAGGTATATTGTATGGATTAATGAGAGGTATAGTCCATACAGACTTTGTTAACTGGATGACCACAACCATGCATGTACAAAATTATTCATACAAAAGATCAGCAACGTCAACATGATTATATAAAATTGCAATGATTGGGTAAATGCAAATTAAAAGGTAAAGTTATTTAAGATATTGAGAAAGAAGTATTTTAAAAGAAGCAAATTGCCCCAGGTGGGATTCATTGTCCTCTGGGGTAGTATTAGTTTATTAAGATTTTAAAAAGATCATCGAACATGCAGTTTATTTGAGCTGAAGTAGTTCAACTTACAGAGTAAAAAGTACATTCCATGAAAGTACATTGATAACACATTCAAACATGTCGAAAACTGAACGAGTATTATGAATGTTACATGCAATTTAAAAATTCCATTGTTAATATAAATTGCCCTTAGTTTTGAGTAAAACAGATATTTTAGAATCAATAACACATGTTTATTGAAACAATGGGTAGCCCATGAAGATTGATGGAGATTGTGATTTTCAAACCATGAAAGATATATGGTTCCTACTTTGATACAAATACAGAAGACATAGAGCTAAAAACTGTACACGCAGGTGAAATTAAATTGTATGGGAGGAGTTAATATCTCTTAAGAATACAACTATTACATGCATGAATTCAATTACTTAATTTGGCGATAGGTAAATGAAAGCGTTTACTCAACATGATATTGTAGTTGATTGGAATGCCTATCGTACAAAAATCGTATGAAAATATGACATTAATGTTACATAAATTCCTTTAATTTGATATAAGGATACAGAGAAAGATACTCCCCTCCATGACACTATAATCGGGAGCAGGGTAGATGTCACTGAATTATTGGTACAAGTTCCAGACCTGGATGTGACTCTGGTTAACAAGAGAAAGTTCACAGCTCTACAGTTGGCAGCTTTCATGGACAGACCAGAGTAAGTACTCCCCCGGTCGTATCCCCTCATACTGATCTTGAATTTCATGCAAAAAAGGGTTGATTTTCAGCGGTGTAAGTATGTTTGAAAGAGCATGACATTTCATGAAAAAGGGGTCATATTGTCACAATGATCGCACGCAAGCAATGTGTTTGTACCTGTTTTCAGAAAAATAAGATACTTTTTGTAAATTCGTACTCGATAAGCGCCCATATAGGGCTTTATTTAGAGCCCATTTCTAACCTTCTTTGTCTGGAAAAAGTTCTTTAATGTATGAAAAATAGAGGGTTGTTTTTTAATTCTGCTTATGAGCTTGTTTATGTAAAGGCGCTATATAAATATCAATATGTATGTTCGTATGTATCATGGTTTGACCTTTGAATATGATATCACACCATCGGTAAGTATCCGTTATGTTTGTTCCATGTGAAGCATCAACTCCATTGTGTCAGTCAAGCACAGGCAGGCATCGTTACATCTCTTCTTGATTGAGCCAGGTTTGTGATGTGGCCAAGAGTTAGGTTTTGATTTGTTCTGAGTTTGCTAAGCTCTGGGGACATTTTTCCTAGTCTTTGCTTGGTCAAAGCGATGGTTTATGATTCTATTTTTAGGTTACGTTTAGGGTTAATATGAAGTATATTAGGTTTTTCAGGTCTGGGGCTGAAAGTACATGTAAAAATTCAGTTATTATTATAAATTGACTGCTAAATGATGGTTGTCAAAGCAGGTGTTGTACAATAGCCATCGTACTCTTTCTGAAAAGAGGCAAATCCATTTGAAAAGTTATCTTGATTAACATGCAAGGAGCCTGGGGAAGGGTGTGGTCACGTATGTACATGTATAGCAACGATCGTTAGAAAAGAGATAACAACCATCAGCTTGAATTCATGATTATAATTTCTTGTCTGATCTTAAATATTTAGTTTCCTTTTATTATACATTTTAGAGCTGCTGAATTAGTTGCAAAGAGTATTCCTGGACCTATTGATGATGTAACAGATGAAGGTGACACCATACTGCATATCGGTGCAATCAATAACCATGTAGAAGTCATGAAGGTTGTTATGTCTGTAAAGGTAATTCACTAAGACTCTCAGAGTTCCCTAGGCTAGCAAAATGTTGAATTTAACACTTCTGTTGCTTTCTTTGTACCCACTTCCGGTCTTGATTTGCTCCATGGCACCCCTCTTAATACCAGTATAGATTGATCTTGCAATGGAAACAGTTATTTAATGTTATTTGATGCCTTTGCTATAAAGTTACGATTTTCAACAATTATGCGTTTTGATTAAAGGTAAGACTTTACGTACCTTTATTTCTCAGTAAGCTACAAGATAAGTATGAAACGTGAAAGCCAATTTAATTGTCTTAGAAAAAATATTTGTTCCATCTACATGCAGCTTCTTTTAATTTTCCAGTGTTTATGTACTTCTAATTTTAAAATGTAATGGATTTCATTTGATATATGACAGGTGAATAGCTATATTTGTTATGGTATGGTGAATGTGTAAAGATACATGTACCTGAAAGTCAACTTTAGTTGTCTAGTACAAGCTGGTGTAGGCTATCAATGCAAGAGACACGTACATTGTGCAATGTAAAACTCCTGTTTTAACAAGATGACTACTAAATTGTCTTATTCCCATTTGCCTAAATCAGGGGCCACACAGTTCTTGTAGGCAAGGTGTGAAGCATGTCGAACAGTCTTCCACGAGTCTATTAACGTTAAATCAAATATCACATGATACCTAATTAACCAATTAAGCTCAATCAAGCTCTTATTTAGATAAGGATGAAACTTGTTTATCCTATTACAATGATCAAATAATGAAAGTTGTATATTTGTGCCGATGTAAGGATCATGGGTTGGATCTGAACGCTAGGAACGTGCAAGGAGATACAGCACTACACCTTGCTGCTCATAAAGGACAATCCCGTTGCATGGAGTTTCTGGTGTCACAGGGTGCTGATATCAATCTTAAAGGTGAAGATGATAACACTGCCCTGCACCTCCTTGGCAGCACTGCTGCGCATCATCCAAGTAATATCAAAGACACTCCTACACTGAGGAAGGTATGACTACGTGTGTGTGTGCCAAGGGAAAAGAGGAAGAGTGTCTCATCGTAGTAGCCCTGGTGTTTAATAATAGAGATAAATTTGATACAGAGATTATATTCCCCCAAACTAAAAATATTGGTTCACGTATTTCATGAAATACAATACAATTCGTGTGTGCATTTTTCATTCTAAACTTAACAAATATGTTTTACGTGAGCTATTTAGGTATTAATTAATGTTGTATTTGTACACAAATGCCTAAATTTATTTTGTTGCTATTGAAGTTTATTGATATGATAGTTGTCAATGACAGTACTTATACCATAACTTTTAAAGAACAAAACATACTGTAAATGTAATTTATTTAGATAGCTTAGTTGGGCGCTGATGTAAGATGATTACCCTAATGGAGAGATGGATAAGGAGGAATGCTATTTGGTACTGTGAAATATTCCAGGCAGAGCACGCAATGTTAATGAAAGAGTTTCAGACACTTGCAGTCACTTTCATGGCTTGATTATTTTGATTTGACTTCCATAATGGAGAGACATGTATATATAGGATGAATGATATCAATGTGATATTCCAGACAAAGATACTGTGAGACCCATCATTTTAATCGCTAGGGTTAATTTCCCACTGCTATCACTAATCTTAATGAATAATATGAGTCACCAGTCATTTTTATTGCTAGGATTTCTCAGTATCCCACCGCTGCCACCATTAAAATGAAGAAGTTCAAAAGCAACATTCCGTTCGACTGATAGAGTTCATACACATTCACTAATAGCAACTGACTCCATCTAATCATCAAATGAAAGATCTTGTGATAATATTTTTGTTCTATAATTTTGATACTTAATGATTGGATGAATTTCCATAAACATCTATTTTGAAGCTACTTGTTCTTTCCCCTAATAATAACCAGTGGTCCTATATTTTCTGATTTTCAGGTATCCTAACTTGGTTTTCTAATTAAAAAAACCAATTCACTCCACATTTGAGCAAAGTTTAATTTACTTGATGCTCTGTACTTTCTCCCAGATTCGAAAACGTTTTAGAGATTGTGGAGTTGATAACAGTGCTGCTGCTGCACTCTGCTACATGGTTCTTAAAGGAGCGTCCATAGACCTAGAGAATGTCAAATGTCGAACACCGCTATATTACATCAGGAATGCTGAGCTGAAGAAGACTTTGAAGAAGATCGCCCGTGAAAAGATGTAAGTCAATACCCTTAACACTTTGCTTGCCTTCTTTGCCTGTTTGCACAATCGCTTGCTTCGCCACATTATACAATTTTGCACAAAACAATATGCAAAAATTGACATAATTATTGCTTTGTGCAAAATAACCCATTTCTAGTATTAAAAAGCTCCAGGACGACCCTTGTAACGCCAGTACAGATACATCTTGCACTGGATTATTAAATCCAGTGTGGCACAGGGGGATTATTTGTGTGTTATATAAAAAAAAAAAAATTGGATGTCGAAAATCATATAAGTTAAAATAATGTCATTTTTATTGTTCTTATTTTGTGTGTAATGCCAAGCAAACTATTCTAGCTACATGATGCTCTTCATACCTCTCTTAAATTCTTTCTTGGCCAATCACATTCTTTCTAGTCTCATCATACATTTTATTTGTTCTATTACATTTTTTAATCACTATTTTTGTTTTCGTTTTAGTTGGTTAATGCCATATTCACATCTCACCCTATACCATTTTGTTGGATCCTGTCTTCATTTCTCATCTAAATGATCTTAAATAATAATCCTCTCCTGTCACCTTGCATTATTAAATATTATTATTATTATTAACATTTGAACTTGAACCCTCGCCATTCATGAATCTAGTGTACTAAAAATTAAATATTCTTCACTAATTGCAAATTTTATCAAAACCTTTTTCAGACCTGATGATATGTCATCATGGGAGGACCTTGGAGAAGACGAGGATATGAAGAAGAGCAGTAACTCCATCAGTGTTGTCGATGATGATATTATCGTAAAGCGTAACGGTGGTCTGAGCGTCACTGATGAAGGCTCTCCAAAACGAATAAGACAGGACTCGGCTGAGAGTGGAGCTGAATACCCAGCAGGAAACCAAAAGAAATCTGACAAGCCAAAAATTGAAGGTAAACATCTACATATGAAATAAACAAATTGAGCCTGCTGCACACTACGCCATCTGCCTACGATCCGATTTGTGATAGCATTTTTTACGAACGTTTAAACATTTAAAATCTTAATTACCAAGGACCTGACTTGTCATATCATTAATAAAATCAAAATTTTAGGGGTTTACATGCTTCCTTCGAGGGGAAAAGCTAAATCGACTCAGAATCGTAGTAACATCAGACCAGCAGTTCAACAATTTGAGGCCGTTTCAGCTTGTTATACCGACTTGAAGAGTTAAATTAACTAAAATCCTGGTTAATATTCTTATCATTATTTAGAACCTAAAGTTTTCACTCATACGACCTGTACAACGTATGAATATTTTAGATGCTGCTTGTAAGTATCGGCTGGCATGGTGATTATTTAAGATTAATGATATCGTAATTTGTCTTTTTCATTTTAATCGTATTTGATTATATATATATATATATATCTTCTGTAACTAAGGTATATTTGTGTATAGCTATGTATTATACCACCAACTAATGAGGAGAGCCTTCTACAGAAACTCATTTTCGTTTGGTAATCCTCAGGAATTAGTTGATGGCTTTTAAAAATGTTATTGTATTTATTATTGTAATTCCTTTTTCTTGTATTCTTTGTTATCGTTATACTCCTTTATGTTCTCGGAAAGGAAATAAAACAAACGTAAAATGGTTCTTTAGATTTCCATAGCTATCATAACCGCCCTTTGTATGAAAATCGAATCGCAGGAAAATCGTATAGTGTGGTTAAGGCCTACATGTCATCATATGGTGTTGTAAACCGGTTTATCACTTTTTTCAGAGCATACTGCTTACATATTAGTGTCATTTTTAACAGACAAACAATTGATTACATGTATGTGTACTCGGTTAAATGCAGTTACCTTTTTTCATCCCCTTTTGACAATCCTTTAGCAAAAAATTCCACGGTTTACCGCTTTGTATGTGAATGAGCCTTTAAGATTGCTGGTTTCACTGTGCTCATGGAGACAGAGTGCATGTGTTGGTCCTTATATATTCAGATTGATATATGTAGTTATTAAAGGGAAATCCAACATTGATAGCACTAACTACTCTAGAAGAAAGCAAAAAAATCAGAGAAGCTAAATGGCGAAAGTTTGAATAAAATCGGACAATAAAATGATAAAAATTATCAATTTTTGAAAGTTGCAATTACTTAAAGTATGTGCTATTCAAATTTGTTCTAACACACAAAATGATATTTTTAAAGATCTTCAAAAATATAGACCAAAATGGGTCTTTTACCTTTAGAGAACCTATAATTATTATGCTATCAATAACATATTTTGAGTAGTGCTGCAGGGGAGCAGGCACTAAGGGAAAACTAGAAAAGAGTGAGATTTCTGTACAAACGGGAGCGTTCTACGTCACAATCCAGGGATCAAGTCACCAATTTGGTATTTGGACTCGGTTAGTGATCCCATATTTCAAACAGTCATTACTCTCGTTATTATTGGTAGGATCTTTTGCATACTTTTTACATTCCTTTTCTCTGATCTTTGGGTTGGGTTGCCAATTAAATGGAAAATGTTTGTAGACCTTCATGTACTGGGGTCACCAACGTTGGACCAGGAAATATAATATACAGTGCGCTCTATGCACATCACCCTAAAACTGCTTCATTTACATCTGGAAGAATACCATCCTTGCTTTTGTTTGTTTGCCACTAATTTTTGTTAAAGGACATTTTAAAGTGAAGTAGGTTTGAAGTATTTAAGTTGTTTATGAAAATAGATTTCTTGATTTTACATGTGTAGCGCATGCATAGTGCGAAGTAAAAAGAGTTCTATAGGAAGAGGATTGTCATTTGATATCTTTGCTTGAAATGCACTGTGCACTGATAAAAACTGCCAAAGCTAAAGCTAGAGTGAAAGTCTCAAACCACTATTGAAAGGGCAAATTGATGTTTTGTCATAATGCGGTATGTACTGTAGAGCTGTTGAGGATAAATAACCAGACCATAGCTCTCAAAGATTTGTGGTTCAAATCCCACCAGCTCAGCACTGAGCCACTTTATACCTAAATCTTAACTGATATCTGATAAAATTGAGTGCAAGTTACTTAGATTGCTTTGCTATAAACAGTGTAAAAATGTCTGAGCACCAATAAGCCAGTATGATTATGCACTAAATTATGCACTAGTAGTATGCAATATGTAATAGAGGTATAGTGGATAATTCTACAGAATGTGAACCACAAGGTTAGGGGTTCGAATCGCTGCTGCACATTTGCAAGGTATTCATCTACATTTGAGACACTTGACCCAGATGTAAGAAATGGGTATGCGGTAGGGGTCCCTCGAAAGGACGATGCAATGGATGCTGGAGCCAAATCTGGGAAGATAATAACCTAAGTCTTTTGAAAGATGACATATACAATTGTGTACATTATCATGATGTGATATTAGCTGTACAATAAATTTAGCTAATAGACATAAAAACAAATTAGATTGTATATATTGATATTGATTTATATATTTAAAAAGATTGTGTATAATGTATGATATAATATTTCTCTCATTTTATTCTCATTTCAGTCTTTGATCTTGTGCACAAAATTGAAGTCTCTGACTTAGACATGGGTCCTGTGGTTGGGAAGGGGCAGTTTGGAGTGGTCCATCGAGCCTCATGGAGAGGGACTCCAGTGGCAGTCAAAAAGATCTCCATCATGGGTAGCAGAAAAGATGAAATCGAGAAGGAAGTCGCAATACACAGGTATCCAGATATATTACCATCCCGCATTTGTTGCTAGGATAGGCTTGTGTTTAATTTTGTTTTAAAGAAATTGATGGTCATAACAAAATTGCGATACCACTACCGGAATACATCAAACCGAGGGAGCGAACTATAAGGAGGAGTCAACAACAACGATACATGAGACTAGGCTCTTCAATGGACACTTACAAATTAAGCTATTTCCCCAGGACACTTTAGGACTGGGACGAGCTACCTCAGATCATCGTTGAACTGCCTTCTTTGGAGCATTCCAAGGTGGCTCTTGAAACAATTTAGTTCTCTTTTCAGGAACTGTACCGCATAGAGCTGTATATAACAACTCTATGCTTTACCCTCATCTAGGTGCTGAACAGGCGTTGATGAGTATTGCCATAGAAGTAGAAGTAGAATGTGGCACATGACCAACAAAATGGCACAAAATTACCTTGGGGAATTGTAAAACAAAAATTAAAGGTCGAAAAGGAAAATCTAGAGTGTTAGTTTTTCTTTTTTTTTTAATTATTTGATCTAAACACTTGTGAATGATATGTAACTTGAAAGTCATAGTGGTCAGAATGTACATCCATTATTTGGAAACAAGCTTCAATCGCTGACCATGATAGAGACATGTCTGCAAAGTGGCGGGATCGACACATTAAGCTATACAAAAATGCAGAATATTATTGTTAAATTGTCATTCCTAACCTGGTAGGGTATTACGTATGTGTTTACTCAGGACTTAGCTTTGTTGACCAGAGATATTTGGGATGTGATATGATCATCAAACTTTCTTTCTCCTCCATACTTTTCTCTCCATTAAGACGGGCATGTCATCCTAACATCGTTCAGATGATGGCTCTAGGATACCAGGGAAAAGAGGCCTTCCTGGTAATGCAGTTCATTGAAGGACCAAGTTTACACACCGTCATCTTCCCTGATAGGGATGACGTTGAGGTAATTGAATCAAGGGTTTCTAGGAAAATGTGGGGCTAAAGGGAGAGCGTATTGAAGTAGGGGCTAGTGGCTGGAAAATTCATCACCAAGTTATTCCCTGAATGAAGGTGCAATTTTACTTTAATAGATAGGAGTAATTTAAGGTAATGGTATGAAGGTGTCCGTGAAGATGCAGTGGATGGTGAGGTGGCAAAGCAGGGAGCGTTTTTCTTTCAATGTATACTAAACTTTGTCCTGATTAAATGGATAAATTTGAACATCATTATAAGTGCCAAAGTTAGAGGATGCCCAAGTGCAGTCTTGGTCCTGCCAAGCAAGATACGGAGAAGGAGAGGGGGAGAACGTGGGGCTGGGGAGAGAACCATTTAACTAGGTGATTGGTAGACTGCTAACCTTTATTTTAGTTCCATGATTGTAAGTGCAAGTTCGGGCTCATTCACATATGACGTCATAATTCTCAAAAACAAAAACTGCATCAATGAAAGTACATGCCTGCCCCAGTGCCCTTAATTTTTTTAACTCACAGGAACATTCACAGGGCCATAGCTGCACACACACACACACACACATACATATATATATATTCATCCTCTCCTTTTCAAATTTCAAGTTATCCCTTTTGTAAATATTTTCCCCATATTTAATCATGTTTAGTTTTGATAACTTTGAAACATTTTAAAAAGTGAAACATTGATGGATTATGTTATATGGGGACCTTGCTCTTACAAGCCAAGCTTTTCTAAGGTCTCCACTTTCTTTCATTTTGATTATATATTGACTTAAAATTGCACTTAAATTGTTTTTTCTTATGCTGTTTTTGTTCTATTATTATATGTAAAAATGTTGTGAAATAAAGAAATAAAATGAACCATAAACCTTGAACACATCCTTTCATACTCAAAATGCCTGAAATGGATGTTCTTTTGCCACGTTATGTGGAAACAGAGCTTTAGAAAACCATCATTTTGCCAGACATAGACGATGTCAAGATTATATCTTCAATTTTTCTCACCAAGTTTGTCATGTTATACTTGCATATTATTCTGTACATGGTTTATATAGCCTGTTTCTTATTGCATATCAATAATCAATTTGCAGATTCCTCTAGACTGGGCTAAAAAGCTTCAGATATCTCGTGACGTTCTCAAAGCCGTAACCTTCATGCATGCCTGTAACATCTTGCATCTTGATATTAAGCCTGCCAATATTCTAGTAAGTACATGGGTACAGCTAGCCATTTTCAAAGTAAATCAAGTATATTGATGTATTAAATTCCATGGATGGAGAATTAAACAATTGATGTACTTCTCACACAATTGTTCTTCTTAGGCTTTTAGAGGGGAACTGGTAGGCTAAATCTATGTAGGAAGAACATAGAAACATTCTATCTTAAGCTGTGTGATACACACTATACAAGGCTATACAAAAACAGAAGATACGTAATCCTTTATATTCATGTTGTATATCTCTAAAGTCCTGTGTCCTGTATTTTATCACAAGTTGAATTTTACCTAACTTCTAAGAGAATATATCCCATCATAACACATAGCGGTTTTTATTCTGTAAGGTGGAATCTGCAACAATTCGTCCCTACATCTGTGACTTGGGCCTGGCCCACATCAAGAACCGCAACCTCATGTCCCAATCCTCAGTCAACATGAAAGGCACACCGTGCTTCATGCCTCCAGAGGCACTTGGCACAACGGAACCCAGTTACAGGCACTCCAACAAACATGACATTTGGTCGGTTGCAGGTACATTAGTGGAGCTGTACTCCATGAAGCGGCTGTGGGGAGACTCGATACATCCTCTGGCCCTGATGGCCCGTATTTATACAGGCCAGATGGGTAAACCTGAGTCTTTGACAGCTGTAGATCCTAGGGTTCAGAAAATCCTTGAACCATGCTTCAAACAGAAGCCAGAGAAGAGGCCATCAGCTTCTGATCTCCTGGCTCAGTTCAATGACCTCACATAATGGTAGTGTATAGAGCTTATAAAAGGGAAACATTAATAATACAGATTTTCTTTGTTTTGTAAATAAGAATAATAAAGATAATAATATTATACATTTTTATAGCACACATATCCACCAAACATGGTGCTCAAGGCGTTTCAATATTACCCCTGCTGTACAGAATAGTTAGAGTACCGACTTCGGTACTCACATCATTGAACACATTCCATATTACCTGTCCCCATGTAATGCTTTTGTGAAGAGTGGCAAATGTAGATTAACGTCTTGCCAAAGGACACAAGTGCTACACCGGGGTTTGAACCCTCGACCTTTGCATCTTCAGCCAAATGTTGACTGGAGAATCATAGATGCAACCATACAGGAAAACAATGATCTTTATAAAACTTCACTTTTAAATGCCTACAGGTAAAATGAAGTGCGAAAGAGAGATTTTTTGCAATAAACAATAGCTCTCATGAATGTTTTTGTGACAGCTGGTGGGATAATGAATATCTCAATGGTACACGTACAATTGTTTTGGAGTGTATTGTTTTTTTGATGCATCTCAAAGTGCTATGGAACTTCCAAAGGAACAAAGCTGTAAAAAGTGTTTAAATCTGATCATGAATATAACCAGACTGTCTAGAGGCTTGAAATCTCAAGAAGAACGTCATGATTTTTAGAAACACAGTGATTAGTCTGCTTGAATGATGTAGTCTTATTTAATGTCAATCCTTTTTGTAAATAGGAAATGGTCATATCAGGAGAGATTTAAAATAGAAACATATATCTATTTAATAAATTTTAAAAGCATCTACACTCTATTCAAGGTAAAAATCCTCCATATATATATTAAATAGGAAAATGTTTTAAGTATACTTGTCTATTCATATTTTGTAAATAATGAGCATACAAACCAGATATGTATTTAATGTGTATATATTTTGCTTTACCAATTGAATAATATATCTCAAAATGGAATGCTTGAGGTAAAAGATCTACAACGCATGCCTGCATTTATAATTCCTGATTATAATATACATGTATTTATGGACTACATTTTACTACACCTGGTACAAAGTGAACCCAAGTTGGGGCCTCTACATATTTCAAACATTCTGTAGTCTTTTGCATTGCATTAGACTTTACAAAAATATGTAAGTGGTTATTTTGTAGATTTTCAAAATGACTGCTTTATTGCATGCTGTTATTCATAACAAAACAATAGTCATTGCAAATGTTTTTTAAATAATTAAATAATTGTGAGACAATTTCATAGCTGTTCCTAAATTCCTTTAAAAAACTATCAAAATTAAAATAATAATAATTATTACATGTATGTATTTATGTCTGCTAATGTGAATTCTATGCATATTTTTCTAAATGAAATGTCTTTATTGCAACATAATGCTTTTTGGCTAACTTGTGAATCTTAAAATGATTATTTTATTCCCTTCATCCCACATTTATTCATATGTATGAAAATGTTTTAGATATCTTGTTTTCAACCACCTCTAATTATTTTAAACTTAAAAAAAGATTACAGTGACTGTTCTCCTTAGAGAAAACAAGCAAGAGCTAGAAAATCTTTGTTGCAAATCATGACTAGTACAATTAAAAAAGAACATTGTTGAAATATTGATGCTGTAAATGATGTGAGTGTACATATTATCTCCCCAAAGTCTTAACGTTTGTAAATTTTGCATTTCTGTTAATAAATATGAATATGCATGAACATTAAATTAGCATCACACCATTTAATAGAAGTAAAATGTACATCCACATTTACATCCAGTGGCAGACTCTTCCCGAAAGGGGGGAGGGGCACATGATCATGTGCGTCCGTCCTCCCCCTCCCCACCCCCCAAAAAAAAAAAATGCCATACAGATCCTAGGGTTGGTCACATAGTGCCCCCAAATATGTTCTTATGTGTTCTGCTTGCACTCCCACTAGTGGTAAATGTGATAACCGGTTTTGGGGCAGGGGGTCACAATACATCTGATACGAAACACACACGGGTTTAGAATTGCAGTTGGTCAACAAAGTACATGTATGTAAATCTATAGAATGAAATGATGACATTGTATCTGCTCATACCACATATGTAGAACATGTTTACTGAAGAAAGAATGATACCATACAAGACAGATATAAAAGTTTCCATATGCCATGAAACCTCTTTGCACTTGCCACTTTTTATCATCAGAGTCTGGGTATCATGAGTCTTGCATAAAATAATTTAATTACTTCTAATCATCCGTGAGTGTATTCTGTCTGTCTGATTTGGGTTATTCTATCTGGAGTTACATTTTGTGAAATGCTGGACTTTTGGGTAGAGCTCCGATTTAAAGATGTCATGTAAATCTGTTAGATATCTTTATCCAAGGAAAACAAAAGTTTAGGAAGTAAAATTCAATGCTGGAGGGACAGTATTTAGATGTAAAAAACAAACAAACATGTATATTGGGGGATATTATAGGGTTATGGATCCCCCTCCCCGGCAAATGTAAATGTTGCAACAACAAAAATAAAAAATAAAATAAATAAATAACTTTCCTTGTTTCACAAATATTTTTAACCTCTTTCTCTTTTTTAAGATTTTCAGCCTTTTGCATCCCTAATATTTCAACACAATAAATATAAAACACTGGTAAGTTAGTTTAATACTAGTTTCATATATGGTAATAATTAAAATACATTTAACAAGTCTTAAGTTAGCAATAAACAAAATGGTAAAGACCTGCTGCAGATACATGCACATTTTTATCTTTATCCCACATAGAGGGAATTTCAAAGACTAGATCCAAATTCCACATTTCCGTATAAAAGAAAAGAATATTATTACCAAATATGTTTTTGTTTAGAAACTAGAGCTCCATGGAATATAAACAAAAATGACGATCAAATGACATTATTTCAGTAATGTTCAGCAAAAGTACTTAATAACTGGAAGTCACCTATTAGAGCCAAAATCATTTTCACTTGAAATCTTGTGTAAATATATCAGAATACAATTTCATTGTACTACATACATTCTTTGAGTAACATTCATTTATCCACTCATGGCATTAATCCTCATTACCGAGTCCCTAGGAGAGGACCAAAAGCCGTAGGGCCCATGGTAGCTTACAAGTTACATACATGCTTTTTAGCAGTCTGGGAAAAAACAAACATCAAATCAAAGTTATGAGGAAAAATAAGTTTGCACTTGCCCAATAAAATGAGTTAAACTTGAATATGAAGCAATTAACATTAAACAAAATCCTTCACTTTCTTGATTATGCGTCAGTATAACTCTGCATATATATAGTAACCCTTTGTGAGGCCCCTTTTCATCAATGTCTTTTTCAAGCATTGAAACTCCCGCATGTAATTATTATCTTCTCTAATTCACTTTGCAGCTTGGCCTATTCGTGTATTGAAAGTGCATTTATTAAAAGACAAAGATATGCGTGGCTTTCCGAGGAGGAGAGAGTAGTATTCTTTACAATATATTCATTGATGCTATGTCAGAAAGATCTGAGTACTTTGTTACGTAACTATTCCAATATTCCCGATGCCAGCTTTTTACAACGGAATTGAATAGCGAAGCTTCCCTATTCAATGATACCATGTTAAGGAATTATACGCATACGCATACACCATTTTCTATGCATTATGCTTTTCCAGGGACCTACGCAGTGCCCGATTGGCAAAACAATTCATGTCGGCAGTTTAAAAAATAAACTTTAAAATGTTTACTAGCAATCTTGACAACATCGGACTACGAAAATAATAATCATCATGCATCCCAAAGACGTAAAATCGGTAATTTAAATTTTTGGGGTAAATTGTTAACATTACGAAGTGTTAACAAGAAGCGATAACTAATAAAAGCGAATAGCAATGAGTTAGTGTGGTCTTGTGGAAAAATAATCGTTCACAACGCGGAGATAGCGGGTTCGATTCCCACTTACTCCTTTGTCCTATTATTTTCTTCTTTTGTTTTACTCCATAATATTGACTTGCCAATGATTTTTTTTCTTCAAGGGGGAGGGGGGGGGGCCTCCCTAAGAAAATAATTGTGGGAAAATTTGATTCTTATCATCTTTCTTTAAGTGAATTTCCGAATTACGAAGAATATCAAAACACTTATCTTATTTGTTCAATTATTAAATTACTAATTTACGTCCTTTATCCCATCAACTACAAATAAAAGTGTTAATATGAGGAAAACATGACAAAAAGTGTTAATGTATTGAAAATAATTAGAGATTTTCAGTGAGGCACAGCAGTCTTGCGGATTCGTTATCGTCTTTTAACTGGAACGTTTTGGTTTCAATACCGAGCTAGTGTCTTTTTTCCTCCCCTTTTTTGATGTCTCTCAAAAATAGACTGATGTTCAACCCTAACTGGAAAAATACATTTTAATGTTATTTTAATTGATCGATAAAACAGCACTTTTGTTTTCTCCATCAAACATAATTTCATTCAATACTTTTTCAGTATCCGAAAGCTCACACGGGATAGGGAAAAGTTTCGGGGAAATATTATGAGTGAGATGAAGATTGATTTGAAATATGCAAAACGAGGAACGGAGAGAAAGAGAGGGGTGCGATTGGGGAGAGGAGAGATTCAGTAAAAAGTCAGAGATCGAGAGATAGAGAGAGAGAGAAAGATAAAGGTGGGGAATATTGGCCAGTCAATGAAAATAAGTAAAAACAAAGAAACTTTAAAAAATCAGGAAATAGGAGAATTTGATTTTGTTGAGATAAAAAGCAAACTAATAATAATTTTAATATACCAGCTAAGAAAGAAATCAGAAGCATCAAATTAGAAGAAATCGAAGATTAAGTCAAACCAGCAGTGGGGGGGATACTCGGGGCGGCCGCTCTAATTGGGAACTTTTTCCCCCAAAATCCCTTTACATGAGTACCTTTTTTTTAAAAAATACCATTAAAAATGGGACCGTTTTTTCAAAATTTTAGGTTGATTGCCACCGAAAAACATCCGAAAATTGTGGAAAATTTGTCTTTTTTCGAGAAAAATGACCCCTCATAATGGGTAAGGGTTTAGGGGCTTGAGCGGCTTGATGAGGTAATGCGACAGAAATTGCGAAAAGGGGACTTCCCGATGGAAATTTCAACATACTTCTAATGCATCTCCCCTTTTGATACTCAAATTAACCACCCACAAACTACACAGCGGAATTCAAGAATTCCGTCTCACATGCCTGAATACACTTATTGCTGTACAAACAACATTTGCCAGCTATAGTTTATATGTGGGCAGGCCCACAAAGTACACAAAGGTACAAGCAGGCCTTTAATTAGCACACCTGGCAGTCCCTCTATTGATGATGATGGTTACCCCTGTAACATACTCGAAGAGTCCAGATACTGCAGGAGTTTGACCACACTTTGTGAGAAGGGCATTCTACTGTTACTTTTACCAAGAAATAACACGTGTCTGTCTTTTCTCTTCATTTAAAGGTAAGCTTGGTTCATCTTTCAAGTTATTATAATCATTGAATTGTTGAGTGTGATTGGATGTTGAAAATCAACTAATGCCAGTTAAAAGTTATTGATTATGTGTGTGACTATATGATGTAGAAGGAGTTCTAAGAAGTATTAATTGTTGAAGAGTGATGTTGATTGACTATGATTTCTATGTCAGAAAAGAAGTACACTGGAAGAGTATTATAAATTGGACATTATGTAGTTCCATGGTGGGTTGAACTTTCTGATGCAAAGAATATTATGTCAAATCATAAACTTTGAATGTTTATGTCTGTAAGGTTCTCATAGAATGAAGTACAGAACTGTTATACATTCATATGGAAGTTTATCCTCCATTTACTATTAGAGCATGTAGATAGAATAAGAGTTTGTCTAGAGTTGATAAAGAAAAGGTAAATCTTATATCAATGGTACTTTCCAGATTTACAATATATCTTTCGGAACTTACTCTAACTACAAATTAGGTGAATAGTGTATATACTATGCAACAGTGCCATTGAGTTAATGTGTATGATCAAGTGTAGATACATAGTGTTGAAACAACAGAGTATAATACATACACTGTATGCCATGTGTAGTAGATCTTCCCCCTCTTCCATCCCTCCCTTATCTCTCTTTGTTCACTCTGTGTGTAGAGGTTAACCCTCTCCCTTGGTAGAGGAACACACTCTCTCTTCCTCTCTCTCTCTCTCTCTCTCTCTCTCTCTCTCTCTCTCTCACAGATACTCTATCTCTTCCCCCCCCCCCTCTCTCTCTCTCTCTCTCTCTCTCTTTCTCCCTTCCCCAGTATTCTTGTTCACGCTGTGTTGTAAGCTATTACACTCTCCATTGGGCTAGGACAAGGGAATTAGTGTTAGGAGGCATGTTTGCTTAAGAGCTCAGAGTAGAAGTTGGAAACACTGAAGAGTTTGCATTTGCCTGGCACAAGGGATTGTCTTAACATAGTTAATTGGTAGTATTCAATAGAATAAACCTGTACATAAATATCCCATAATTGTATTTCTATTTAAAGATTGATGTTTAGGATATCGATTGACTTATAATACAACATGTTTCGCTGTATATTGTATAAGTGGAAGTTATCAGATTTCTTATAGACAATCAATATTCTTTAGTCTATATTTCTTGTCTTGTATATAATTCACGATTATTCTTCTGTTTTTATGTCATATCATGGGTATTCTAAGCATAATAATAGTGCATTAATAGGTGAATCATGCAGATAGCAGTAATGATTGATAAGCTCGTTTTCCTAAAACGATAGTTACACCTGAGAATATACATGTGCTGTGTGCTAGCTTGAAGGATATAACATAGGTCTATGGTTATATTATATTTCTATAAA